TGAATGGACAGGACAATTTTTTTTTATCCAAACTCTCTTTAGCATCTTCTTTTATGACTTGAGGTATAATATTTTGTTCTACAGACATTTTATGCATGTTTGTACAATAAGAAAACACCATACCTGCAGTGTCAAATAATCCAAGAGTGTAAGGTTCACCGCCGATCATTACAGTTACGGCATAGTTATCAAACACCTGAAAAAGAAGACAAATGTTATGCAGCTATGAACTGACTAGGTTTTCTCTTTGGTTTGCACACAGAATTATTAAAATAGATGCATTAATTCAACACATACAGTTTAAAACTATGGACCACAATGTGAACATTGAAGAGGTTGTATTCAGTGTACTTACTGTTGGTACGTACTCTGAAGGGAACTTGTTTGTGGTGTATGAAATCAAAAGGCAAGTTTTACCCACAGCACCATCTCCAACTACTACACATTTAATTGTCTGCATTGTTGCACTGTGAATCTGTGCTCTGGTATCTGCAACAGGGAGAGGAAAAAGGATCTTTACTGGTCATATATTTGAATAACGTTTCATGTTACATTTATAAGAGGTTATATGAGAACAATTAAATGTCAGAAAAGCTTTAGATTCATGGGTCAAAATATAAGATATATGAAATAGAGCTGGGAAATATGATGATATTAACTCTTATGCTCGTGGGTATATTTTAGTTTTTCCATCTGAATTTACATCACCAAATCAGTAACTGCATGAAATAAATGTAAATCTTTATTTTATTTATTTATTTTTTTGTAAAAGTTCCCCTCAAATGAACAGAACGTGTTTTATGATCATACACATATAGCTATACGCTTACAATTTACTGCTGAAAGCCAAAAATCTGACACGCTCTTTGTATTATTTTATAAAATCATTTTTACAGAGCAGATCACTGAAGAGACGCCATCTGTTTATAGTTTATAGCCCAGATTTGTGGACAAATGGGTCGACTTTCAGTAGACAAAAACTTGTAAGTTCAGCTTCTTTGATTATAAAGTTTAAAAATTACATCACCATCTATTTGACTGGAAAGAAGACAGTTACAGCTCTCATATGACCCCCACCTTTTGAATGTAGCTTATGAAATATGAAAGTTATGAAGAATATGACGAAGTGTGTTTTGGAACCAAGGAGTTTAAAAGGTTAATAGTAATTGTGATAAAGCTCATCATAAAATGCTTTTCTAAACTAATCATGGATATCAGTACTTAAAAGCGCCTTATCTTTTGCATGTTTGATTACAAAAAAAGTATAATTAGTCCTGTTTAACTGGATTAAGTGCAGCACAGTGTGTGAAATTTTTAAAACCAAATCACTGAATGAATAGTTTTTCTGGTATTTTTCAAAATGTGGTCCTACTTTGTCTGTTCTAACTTATGAGACGTCTGAAAAAATAAAAAGTGACATACCGTGTATCGTAAAAACGTCTCGTAGTATCGTGCTATGACATTTTGCCATATCGCCCACCTCTAACATGAAACCATCGAGCGAGCATCACCATGAACACACTAGGGGTGGGAATCTCTAGGCACCTCACGATTCGATTACGAATACGATTCAGAGGCTGCGATGCGATTATAAAACGATTATCGATGCATCTTGATGCGTCTTTTTTTTCTATACAGGATTTCTTTTTTCTCACTGTCTGAGGACTTGGTAGTTTTAAAGCAGAGTATTTGTAACGATCCATAATGAATTTAATTCCAATATCTTTTATTAATAAATCAAATTGAAGTGATGTGGCAAGTGAACTGGAAGGCTCTCATTCACTGCTCTTGTTTGGAGCACATGAGACGCTGCTGCCACTCATCTGTGATAAAATGCGCTGTTACGGTGAAATAAGATCCAGAGGCACTGGGTGTCCACGCAGCATGTTAAAGCTATTCTACCCGTTTTCTGTAGTGATTTCATAACTTTGGTTTTGGTCTCGTTGTAGAGCGTGTGGGGGATCGCTGTGTCAGTAAAATATCTTCGAGACGGGACGCTGTATCTCGGCTCCAAAGTGTGCAACATAGCGCGAAAGCCCTGGTTCTCAACAACTGAGAACTGGCGTGCAGACTGCAGATCACATAGCAATGCAGTCTCGCCGAGCTAGTAGCGAACAAAAAGGCAAAGAGAGAGATTTAAGACGAACATTCGGAGACAAATGGACTTATTCGCATTTATAAGAAGCTCAGTTGGTTTCCTGGTATGTTAAATCTGCAACAAGAGACGTCAAACACTCAAAAGTTGCAAAGCTTCTCTTTCGAATTTTCCCGTTCCACCTTAAATGGTGCCGTATTTACATTCGGCGCCTCAGTCAGAATTTAAGGTGGAACGGGAAAATTCGAACAGGAAGCTGGCGAATAAGAAGCGACTTCAGCCTCGTAAAACAGTCAAACTTTGAGAGACATTTTACAAGAAACTATTCAACTTTTGACGGAGATGGGAGGAAATCGGCGATAGCTGAGCTAAACCTTAAAGCAGAGTCTGCATTTTCGTATATATTGTTTAGCCCATACTAGGACATCATCACATACTGAGACATACTGGACATTAAATGCTGAGGCTCCCAAAGTGGTTTGATTTTTGTTGAAAGGACAAAATGGCTCTTCTTATCATTTGTGTTGTGACTCCTGACCTAACCTAGCTTTTAATGCAGAGGGAGCCGGTCGGATTTCTCACTCATCCAGTGGTGTTTTTGTTATGTGCCGCCACAGACTGTCCGGGCGCTGCACTTTCCCACTTCCAAGTTCCGCCTTTTGCGTTCCGTCAACATTACGTTACAAATTAAATATTTAGAAAATCGATTTTTGACATTTGTGAATCGATTCAGAATCGTTCACATCCGCATCGCGATGCATCTAAGAATCGATTTTTCCCCCCACCCCTACTATCTACCAGTTAACCATCTCTTAAAACTGAAATGCTTTTAGGAGCTCTGGCTGCAATATAGGAGCACAGTTTTGCCCAGTCAGTGGGAAATGTTTTTCCAATCACTTTTTATGGTTTTAATACAGGATGAGAAGCATTTCTTGTTGGATCTCAGTTCAAACGACTGCAGCATCTATATAAGTGTAGATAGCAGAACTACAGCTGCTGCCTTTCCTACTGAACAGCTCAGTGAACTGTAGCTGTTGCAGGGCTATGAGCAAAGACAGAGGCCCTGCAGCTGAGAGTCGACAAAATACCAGTGAGTAGTGCGGGAAAAATGTGGGTCCTGCAGGTATGAAGATGCACCACTGATGTAATGTTACTTAAACTAGACTATTGGACGTAATTCAAAATTACCTGAGAAGAAGAAAAGTTACAGATACGACAGGAAACCCTGGCAGGGTCGTTAGGAGAGGAAGCTAACGTTAAATCTAGCCAGTTTGAGCCCATTTTATATGCCAATATCCAGTGGTGTGACTGTAAGTGTATGTATTTTCAGCAATGTTCAATGTCTGTGCACAAAAATGTATAAGTTACACATTTTAGTGACGATTTGGTCAAACCGCCTTTCGTTGAACTGGGCCAAAACACTAAATAAGCTAAGTTAAGCTCCCAAGCTCAGCGTTTAACGTTACTCTGACGATATTTACATCGATCTAACGTTGCCTTCAGTCGTCATGAGGTGTTGTGACATGGCCATATTTCACATAAACAAAATAACAGAGCCAATATGTAACAAGGTTTAACATGATACGAGGCTAGCTAGTTAGCCACCAGCTCAAACTGAGCTCCGCTCATTATCGCTGGGAAGCTAACCAAGCTAACTGGTTTCCCATCCGCTAACTGGCAAATTCCCTGTTTTAAAGCCATGACAAGCCCCGGACTTCACAGAGGAAGGTCAGCCATCATCACACTGACACTCTTTATTCAGTGTTGGTTACAAAGTTTGAGTCTCGAAGATGTGAAATCGTTTCTTACCACAGTCGTTTCCACCGATCCGCGAACCGAACAGCGGCGAGCGAGCAACTCGGCAATCAGGACCGAGAAATTTTCCGGTGGCCGCCCAAACAGTTTTTCCAAAGTAAAAGTCCCTCTGTTGTCACTTGGCAAGAACATAAAATTATTACTAGAATGTGGTCAAAAAGTGCTATAAAGGGTGGCTGTTTCATTGTCATATATAAATATAAAATTAATCATCTTAATATATTCAGATTATTTAGATTCTTAGAAACACAGTGTTTCCAAAGTAAAAGTACCTCTGTTGTAATTTGGCAAGAACATAAAATTATTACTAGAATGTGGTCAAAAAGTGCTATAGAGGGTGGCTGTTTCATTGTGATATATAAATAAAAAAAATCATCTAAATATATTCAGAGTTTTTCCAAAGTAAAAGTACCTCTGTTGTAATTTGGCAAGAACATAAAATTATTACTAGAATGTGGTGATAAAGTACTATGAAGTGTGGCTGTTTCATTGTGATATATAAATAAAAATATCATCTTAATCAGATTATTTAGATTATTAGAAAACTGTTTTTCCAAAGTAAAAGTACCTCTGTTGTAATTTGGCAAGAACATAAAATTATTACTAGAATGTGGTCATAAAGTACTATAAAGGGTGGCTGTTTCATTGTGATATATAAATAAAAAAATTGTCTTAATAAATTCAGATTATTTAGATTCTTAGAAAATAAATTCAATTAAATATGGAGCCCCAGAAAAGACATGGGGGAAAAATTAACATGGGTTTTTACACTAACATGGGTAAATTACACTTTAAAATTACAAACTCGCCCAGAAATGTGTGGGTCACCTTAAAACACACTTAAAACACCAAGACTTTCCAAAAAGATTATCCACTTTATTCAAACTGCTGTTCATTTATTTAACACAGTGGAATAAAAAACAAATGTTGGACAATTCAAGAAAACATTATTCATCACAATAAAAGACCAAACATTTGGTCCAGTAGATAAAATTGAGTCAGTATCTTTGACTCTCACGTTCGGTACATTCAGCATGACTTGATTATCTATACATTCAGTTTAAAAAAGAAAAAAAAAGTTTAAAAAATTTAGCAACTTTAAAATCACAAATTACAAGGAAATCGATACATTCCTGAGTCTTGAACTGTGACAGAGAGACAAGCTCTCTTAAAGCTCTCCACATTTTGAGAGGACCTCATCACAGGCAAAGTAATCCTTCAGTGGAGCAAACAGATGTCTGATCACCGGGACGCTCCAGGATTTACCCAGCACCTTCTGTCTCTGATTACGGCCCATGTTCTTCACGTCTGTGTAATGCTTTGGGAATCCAAAAATCCTGTCAAAGAGTGCAAAGAGACCATTAGACCATTGTTTACCATTTATATAAGTGGTTTCCATGTGAAAAAAATAGAAAAAGACGAACTTCTCCATTTCGGTGATCCATATACCGTCATCCTTTCCATTCATTGTGATGGGGAAATGACTGTCATTGGTCCCCTGCTTGAGGGAGTTTGAGCGAGTGGTAATAGTGCGTACCTTGACATACTATAATGAAAATCACAAATGAAAATGAGAAGAATTAGCACAATGTGTCTTCTGCACAAATGCAAAATTATTTCCTCATTTTTCAACAAAAAATAAAAAAAAAAAGAAATCTAACTGCACCAGACCTTGGCAGTGCGGCCGGGTTCGAGGCATTCCTGAAGAGTCAGTTTGTCGTTCTGAGAAGCAATGATTGGTCTGGAATATAAAACCATTTTACAAAACTTATTAAAACACCACACAATGACAGTAACTCAACCCTACTTCTTAAAGGTGGGTACATCTTTGAGAGAGTACTTTTAAATGAACATCTAATTAAAACATAAAACTCAGGTTCACAGTTCCAACAAAAACAGCCAAGAATGTTTAACATGTTTAGTTTCACAAGTACTACGACTGTGGAATTGAGGTCACTAATTATTAATACATATGCATCAGAAAATGCAAAATGATCACGGTATTAAAACGGCAGCAGTACAAACACAATGCAAAACACAGGGGGTCCTGGAGGGTCCGGGACTCCCTAATTAATCTCTTGGTCCCCCTGAATGTCTCATAATTCAACTTATAATGAAGTTATGCTGTTTGTTAGGGAAAAATAGACACTCAAATACAAATTCATGGAAAGGACATTATTTATTCTATTCACAGCTGCCAAACTTCTGTCCTTAGTATTCTACTATGCAGCACTGGTCTGCCTCAGGGAGGCGCTGTAGCAAATTAGTTCGCCCCATTGGCTCTTTATAGCCTAGCAACTGTAACTATGCTCAGAATACCCCTAAAAAACTTTACAATATGCTGTACCGTATCTGTAAATCTGAAAACTTGGCCAATTTCGCAAGACACTGGTGGACAACAGGGCTGAGAAATAGGACAATATATATATATATATAGTTTTCATGATAAATTATGTCGCAATACAATACGCTTTTTTGAACATATCATGTATACCGTCAGTACTTGTAGTACACTGACAAACACTGACTGTTTTATTCTAAAGAGAGCAACTGTTTGACTGGATTTAGTGCAACACAGTATGTAAAACACTGAATAAAAATCAGTGTTCACAGTTTTTGAATACTGTATTTGTATTTTTTATGTAAATGTAGCACTACTGCTTCATCTTTCTCTGTTCCAACTGATCAGATGTCTGGCAAAACGAATACTGTGACGCTATGTATCATAAAAAGTTCTTGAAGTATCACAATATAATATTTGTGTCATATTGGACACCTCTAGTGGGTTGTTGCTCATTTCTCAAACCAAAGACACCAGAGGAGAAGTGTAAGATCTCAATTAATGTGTGGAAGACTGCATTACCAAACCAGGAAAGTGCCTTTCCACAAGAAGTATTGTTGAACCAAACACTGGTGCCATTAAAGCTAGCACCAGCACTGCTAAGGCGAATAAGTTAACAGTTAGCCAACACTGGAGTAGCCAGCCAACCTAAAACCCTTAAATACCGAGGAGTATTTCACACACTGAGTACAAACTAGTCTCTTTCCTGTAGGTAGGTTAATATTTTGTATTTATGTTAATATACTGCTGCATATCCCTTCTTTTGGATGACAGCTTGAAGTCGTCTAGGCATGCAGTGTGTGAGTTTGCAAGTGATGATCAGCCAGGCTTGTTTTCTCTGTTTTGGACGGCCAGAGCGCGGCAGGTTTTGAACACTCACTACTGTCTCTTTCCATGACTTCACAGTACATTTTTTTTTGTATCAGCAGACACATTTTAAGAGACAATAATACTTAAGTAAACGATAATTATGTTATCTAAAGCAGTATCTTTCAGAATGTTCATGAAATGTTTGAGTCAGGTATGTTGGGTGATTTGAATATGATGTATATGCATTTAGATTAATGTCTCAATATTGTTTATTTAATAAAATGGGGGAGTTTGTGAATGTTTTCTAGTTTGCTATTGTTAATTTGGACCTAAAGCTTGATTGAAAGGTTATCATATACCTAGCATCATGTTCTTTTAAATATAGTCAAGCACAATCTTCATAATCCATGAAAAAAATTAAATAATTCTAAAAGAAATGATGACAGAGGGGTCCCAAGACCATTTTGAGCACTGTATGTTACAGTGCTAAGAGACCCTCTTCCTAGGAGTAGCTAAAACACTTGCTACAAGAGTATTACAAGAAGAATACTGTACTTTCATCTTTTTACAACAGTACTACAAAATAAAAGTCTAGGCACAATGAAAATGGTTAAAACGTTCAGTTTCAAAAGCACTAAAACTTTGGATTTAACAGTTTTATAGTGGGCATTAAAGACACACCTGTTCATGCCTGGGAGGTTCCCCCAGAAGTATCGGGCTCTGTGGGCTGGGCTCACTTTGACAGCATCAACAAGGACCGGGTTGCACTGCGAACAACACAAACGCACAGAGAAAAACAGGAAACTGTGATAACGTGCATTATTGAACGATAATACTTGCACACTGTATGTACTGCAGCCATGTTGACTGTAACATCTGATGTTATGGTATCAGTAAGGGCACCAAATACAACACAGAACATATGAACACGATGAACAAGACTTCTTTCCTTTGGAAATGAAGCCTCACCTCTAGGAAACGGCAGATATCAGCTTTGTCCCTGTTGTTCATGAACACAACATTCTCGAAGAGCCAGAAGAACGGCCGAGGGTCGTCTTCCTTCGGCTTCATGACGTTCAGTAGCCGATAGTAGTCAAAGAAGAGCCGCCCAGTGCCTTCTGCAAGGAGCAGAGGTGTAAAATCACAGTGAGTTAATTACAACACAAAAGCAGAAAGCCTGCAGCAGAGATTGCCTTGTATCTTCATTCGATAAAAGGCTCTATTTGTTTATGCTGAAGAACACAATACACGATTGTTTATAATTTAAATGGTAAGGCATGTATGAAATGATTATTTTTTGTTTTTTTTTATCAGGTAGTGAGATGCTGGAAGGCTTCGCTAGAATTACAGACACATAATGAGATCAGTAAGTTCAAAACTAGAGGTGGGGATCTCTAGGCACCCTACAATTCGATTCGATTTTAAAACGATGCATCTTGATTTTCTGAGGCTTACTTTGTGATTTTTCCTGTATTTGTCATTAACAAGTAGTATTACATTGCTGTCAGTATAAAACCTTGTCTCTCCAAAAAAGGTAACTTTACAGGAGAAGGACAAAAACGTTCTAACTTTTAACGGAAGCAAGTAAATAAATAAATAATCGTTTTCAAGTAATTTTAGACCATTTCTGTTGATCCGTTCATCATGACATTTTGCTACATCTTAAAGGGCAACTGGTCTTTTTAAAATGTATATCAAAAAAATGACAAACAACAAAAATGGAAATGCACGGTTTTGTCCCAACAGCAACGATTAACTGAATCTGAATGCAAGTCAATCCAGTAACTTATTAAAGGTTCTACATATGACATTTTAAACCTTAATACAGCAGCAAACAACTATTTTCTATGTGAAGATATAGTGGAGTAATGGCATCCTGAGCAGAGAATGAAGTCACACCCCCACCCCACGAAACAAAGACAGCGACCGCCCACACAGCATTGTGTGGGCACTATCACTTCAGATAGTGAAGTGCAGTAGAAAACGTTCAGGTGAAAGCTACCCTCCAAATTTTCCTCCACCAAATATTCCTCGAAGTAGATGAGGCTGAGGTTGGCTTCCTATTCACATTTTCCTGTTCAACCTTAAATCGTGAAGCAGTTTCATTCTGTGCCTGAATGTAACTGCCGCACCATTTAAGGTGGAATGGGAAGATTCGGAGGCACTTGAAAAAGACTTCAGCAACTAAAGAATTAGATCGATGGTCCTCTGGTTGGCAGCAACTACAACCGGGCGGAAAACGGGTGGTAACATGTAATATGGTTTTCCCCCTCAACTGCACTGAAGCCAAAGTGCTTCCATACACTAGCTCAAGGGTCGGCAACCTGCGGTTCCACATTAGAATTAGATTTGTAGGTAAAAATAAAATAATCCTCCTTTGCAGTAAAATAAAGCTCTGCTGATCATTCAGCACAGTTTACAATAAATGATCTTAAACGCTGGAATTTATGTAGCCTATAATCACTAGTTCACCTAGCTAGCTAGTAGCTAACGAAAAGGCAAAGAGAAAGATTTGAGATGAACATCGATAATTTGGAGACTAACAGACGTTTATCATCACTCCAGCTGGTTTCTTGACATGTTTAATCTGCAACGAGAAACTGTCAAATACTAAACACTGAAAAAAAAAAGAAAAACGTGAAACCGAAGTCAGCTTCTCATCCGCCAGCTTCTTGTTTGAATTTTCCCGTTCCACTTTAAATGGTGCAGCAGTTACATTCTGGTGCCTCAGGCACCTTTTAAGGTGGAACGGGAAAATTCGAATGAGAGGCTGGTGAATGAGAAGCGACTTCAGCCACATAAAAAATAGAACATTGAGAGACGTTTTACAAAAACTGTTCTACATTTGTGGAAAAGTTTCCTGCTGGTGATGCAAGAAAAGCGACTATAGCTGAGCTAAAGCTTAAAGCAGAGCAGAGTGAGTCTGCATTTTTGTTTGTATTATATTTTTCTGTCTATACTAGTACATTAGCACATACTGAGACGTATGTACAGCCAAGATGGTAAAATGGACTCAAAATGTGGTTTCCAAGGTGGTTTGATTTTTGTTGAAAAGACAAAATGACTCTTTTTAACATTTGTGTTGCGACCCCTACACTAGCTTTTAATGTAGTGTGCCGCCACAGACTGTCCGGGCGCTGCACTTCCGCACTTTGCAAGGTTCCACCTTTTTTGGTTCCGTCAACATTGTTATTAAATCAAATTTAGAAAATCGATTTTTGACATTTGTGAATCGATCCACATCGCGATGCATCTAAGAATCGATTTCCCCCGACACCCCTACTAGTGTGTATGTGGTGTTTCACTGCACGGATGGGTCAAAATGCAGAGATGAAATTTCCCTGTTGTGGGACTAATAAGGGTCACTTAACCTAACTGTATTTGTGGATTAACTCATTAGCCTGTAAGCAATTTTTAGACATGGTTCTTAAACAAAGCAGCATCATTAATAATGCATATCTAAAATGGTTTTGGGCCTTTTACTTTATATACACAAAAAGTGTGACCTATTTGTGACTGTGGACATGCATGCATCAGTGAGATCCTGCATTTTCTTTCCTCTCCATCCAAGGCTGTTCCAAAGGATCCTATTTTGTAAAGTGAGTTTATTTTACAGCAATAAACTCTTTAAATAGGCCTGTGAGCCTATTTAAATACCCAATTATGTTTTATGAATCGAATCAGAATCTTTCAAAAGAGATTTGCAGGGAATCCAAGAATCAAGTCTTTTTCCCAGCCCTGATCAAAACAATCATTATATAAACAAATAAATATGTGATAGATGGGGTTAATCCTGTGAAATGCCTTACCGAACAATCCTTTTCGTGCTGGGTTTACTATAGACAAGTCGTTGCATGGGCTCCCACCAATTAGAAGGTCAAATGGACCCCACTTCTCAATCTGAACAACACAAATTTAAGAGGTTGAAACACCGATTCACTGTCATTTAGAGACGTTACTGGTCAAGCATCTCATTTCAGTTTCCTCTTTTTAACTCACAGGTACACAATTTAATCATTTTAAAACTAGAAAAATGCTTTTTTTCAAAATATCCTTCTCCTTTTAATTTTTACCCGATTTTCTCCCCAATTTAGTCGTCTCCAATTCCACCCCGCTAGTTAGGACTCCCCCAATCACACGATGCTATCAACGCTAGGAGGGTGAAGGCTAACACAGGCTTCCTCCGAGACCTGTGAAGCGCCACCGCTTTCTTTTCGAGCTGCCGCTCACGCAACGTCACTGGACAGCCGAACGCGCTCGGAGGAAAGCGCCAACCGCCAGATCTGTTACGTCAGCTAACAGACGCCTGCGCTGACTAGCATCGCGCTGAGTGATGGGGGGAGAAGGGCAACCATCCTACCCACCCAGAGAGAGCGAGGCCAATTGTGCTCTCTTGGACTCCCGGCTACGGATGGCTGTAGCATCACCAGGGATCGAACTCGCGATCTCCTGATGACAGGGCCAACACTTAGACGGTTGCGCCACTCAGGAGCCAATATCCTTCTCCTTTTAAACCTTACAACAAGACTTCAGTATTAAATGCTTCAATTAATTAGGATGTACCTCTTTTTCAAATAATAATACACCAAAAAGACTGAGTGAAGAAGACAGGCGAAGGGACACAGCAAACATGTAAACATACATGGTTTTTGGTGATTCTTCGGACGTCATCCACATGAGTGATTTTTCCATCATGGTTCACCACAGAGACAGTAATGGATTCTTCATCTATTTCTGATGCGACATACTTCTCCACTTTAAAGCCCAGATCCTTCAGTACCAGATATCCTAAAACAGAATACACAGACTGTTTTAATATTACAGAAACACGACAAAGCAAGGAATCACATCTTTAGGCACTAAAATACTACAACAAAAATCATTCAATAGGCCTCTGACTTACCTGTAGCAATACCATCAAATAAAGAGAGGACCCTGATTGGACGACGCATGTTGGCAGGGACTGCTGGATAAACACGATGAGGCTCCTGTTGAGCAAGAAGGTCAGTGATATGAGCTAAATAGTCACTCTTGTAACTTTAATCAGGGTGTGATTTTGCTTTCACCCAGAAACCTAACATACTAGATACTTTTCCTAAAACATGTTCACAAGGCTAATATCTAGCACCAATAGAACCAAGCCTGTAGATAAAAGCACTTCTGGCACACTTCTGAAGAGAAAATGCTGAACTGGATACCTAAGAAAAAAGCAATAAATATGATCCAATGCTGTAACAAATGAAATAACACACACACACACACAGACACACACACACACACACATTGTGTGATGTAATGTTAGCTGTATTTTCTTCTGGGGCAGCAGAGTGTCTGAGCAGTGTGAGCCTGATTTGAGCCTACTTTTAGATTCTCATCTTAAAGGAATGGTTTGGAGAAAAATCAATTTCACACCATTTTCTACTCACCCAGATGTAGTGAATCAGACATGTTTGCCGTTCAAACCCTGCTTCTTTACTTTGACACTGACGTTTGGCTATGACGATTACTTTGCTAACAAACTCTAGTCAATAGTCACCCAATTCTCTTCTGTAAATACATCCATACAACTTCTCTCAACCTATTCAAACCAGTTCGTCATTAAAGTCACATAGACTGGTCAGTGTCATTTAGGACAGGGGTTCTCAACGTTTTCAACCCCAAGCCCCAACTGTTTATAACTACAAAGCATAGCGGCCCGCAGGAAAACCAAACTCAGCTTTTTCTAAATACAATTTTCTTTTCCTTAATTGCTCAACACTGAAAACTGTAAAATAGGCCCTGAAAAAGATCATTTAATTTCAATCACAAAAACAAAGATTTCCGGGCAATAACTCAGCTACAGCCACTTTTTTCACATCACAGGCAGAAAACATTTCCTCAATGTTCAACTTTTCGCTTAAATCAGCTTGTCATTTGCCAGCTTCATGTTCGAAGTCGTGAAAACCAGGTCAGTTTCTTGTTCAAATTTTCCCGTTTCACCTTAAACGGTGCCTGAGGTGCCAGAATGTAACTGCAGCAGCATTTAAGGTGCAACGGGAAAATACAAAGAAACTGACTCCAATTTCATGACTTGTTTGAATATTGTGAAACCAGCTGAGTGCATAAATAAATAAATGCATAAATATCTAAATTATCGATGTTCGTCTTAAATCGTTCTCTTTGCCTTTTCATTAGCTACTAGCTAGGCGAGGTTGTTGTCTGCGTTGCTTTGTGACCAGCAGTCTGCACGTCAACCTTCAGGGTTAAGCGCTGAATTAACAATCTGAAGATCTTAATGTGGGTTGAAAGAGGGTTTGGGGATGTTTCAAAGCAAAAGATGTCTATGGACAAGTGTAAGCCACAATAGCCTAGAAGCTCAAGCATGTCTTGGCTGATTGACTACATCTGGGATGACTGAAAAATTTAAATGCTTTAAATCTTCGCAGAATCAGAACGACTGTCACACACTCCATTTAACACATTCTGATGTTACAAAGTGAACATAAGCAAATAATGTTAAAAGAATCCATTAACATGTAGTAGAAATCTCTTATTACAATAAAAGACTGAGGAAAGGTAAGATAAGGTCACTTACGAACTCCATGGCACTGTTATTGGCAAAGAACTCTTGGACACGGATACTCCAGTCATGTCTGGGTTTCAATGCCCCAGAGCTTTTCTCTGGTGCACACAGGTAACAGATCCACGGATCCAGATCCTTTAGTTGGTCAAACGTGCCTTTACCAATCAGGATATCCACACAGTCCACACAGAAGGAGCTAAAAACAGGAGACAGCAGGTTCAGCATGGTTTTGGGAGTACCTGAAGAAAGCCTGGCTATAAATCAATTTACAGAACCAAATAATTTTGAATCATGAAGAGATTGAGCAGAGTAACTTAAACCCATACTCAAGTAAAGTTACTGTTTCTTTGGTGAAACAATGACCTTTTGAACTTTTTAAAAAAAACAAAAAAAACAAAAAACATGATTTAAAGTACAAAAGTAACAGGTCAACAACTACATAAGTAATTTTAAAAGTCAAAACCAATCACAAAGTAGTAAACATGCTGTCACCAGTGTGACAGGAAAATGGATGTGAATCAATGGAATGTAAATGAGTAATAAAATAACTTACTTTCCTCACAAAAACACTAGAGTATGTAAAAATATTAAGATCTAAAAAAATAAGTATAAATCCAACAAACTTTTAGTGTAAATAGAGCTGATTACTACACACTACTGATGTGCACGTAATATTGTATGCAAATGTTTGAACACCCCCTGTCAAATTAATTATTTTGTTGATTTTCTAAGCAGAAATAATTTAACATTCTCTAAAAAGAACACACTTAAATATGGCATTTTCATGACCATTTTAGTCCACCATTCCTATTTATTTGCTGAGTTTAACACATTGGGAAAAAATAAAAACATCACATATGTGCCATAATATTTGCACAGGCCACATTTTATGTTATGTCCCCCCACACCCAATGTGGTAAATTATGCAAGTAAACAATAATTTAATTAAAGTGTGCAGAGGTATGTTCTCTGTAGAGGATATGTTAACTTATTTTCACTTTTTACAAAAACAACAATACATGTAATTTGAGCCCAAACCTTTGCATCTGACTGTATTTATAACCCTTATCAAACCACCATACAACTGTGTGACAGTTTAAAGCTCACAACATACAACAGTACACAGTACAAGTCAGAAAACTGTGTATAAAAGTGTCTGATCCTTTTAACTCACCGACAGCAGCTGTCGTTTCCACACAGGATGACCTCTAGTCCAGCACAGCACACAGTGCAGTACGACTGGTAGCCATCGTCGTCATACCGATAAAGCGTCTCTGTGAAATTATTCTAGACAACACACATCCACACAGAAAAGCACTGTCAAGTAATCAGCATAATTCTCCTTTAAAGGCACTAAAGAAATGTGACCTAAATCACAATTATTTCTTCATTAATTTTATTCACTGAAAACATTAGAAACATATATAAACATTGGAATTATGTGAATTTAACTGTACAGGATTTTATATGCACTCACAATATCCATTGCTATAATAGTTTCAATCAGTCTCAGTAATGAAATAAACATACTTTGTTACCATACTTAAGTACTTTTAAGTACCTGTTCTTCATTGTTTTTACATTTTTGATACTTTTATTTCACTACATTTCCTACTGTTTAGGTTTTACTCCACTAATTTGTCTTGCTACTCGTTACTCTTAAGTAAGAAAAAACTTGATTTTCTAAAATATGTGACACACTTTACACCAAGGCAAACCAATAATAGCATGCTTTTCATTACACCCCACCCCTAATTACTGATGGTCCAATTGGAGCACATTAACTTTATCCAAGCCAGTGGTGTCCAAACTGATCTGTGAAGGGTCAGTGTGGTTTGAGTACTTCACTGCAACAAGGCAGCAGAACAAATGAGCAATTATTTGAAGACTTGAAGATTAAACAACTGGAAAGAACTTGTTTGGAATGAAAACCTGCAGCCACACCAGCCCTTTGTGGATAAGAACGGACAGCCCTGAACTCGGTCCAAAATGTGTAGCATTTTGTGTGTGGAATATTTTTAATCACATAGCTTATATTGAAAGTGTTTGGAGGGGAGAGTTAATATTAACCCATTCACTAAACCAAAAACACAAGAGCAGATGTGCTCCAGGATCTGGATTAAAGAGTACAGAACGGTACATTTGCTCATTGCAGCATTATGAATGTGTACAAACTCTTGAATCAAATCCCATGTGCGTAAAATACACTTGCCTTCCCTGCAGAACAAGAATGATACTGTTCTTTAATTTCCATGTCCTTTAGTCTTTATCATTACCCTTTTAGCGCTATAGGTAACTTTATGTATCCTTCAAATGCATATTGGAGATACTTGAGACTAACTGTTTGTCTACGTCTTTCTGAAAGTTTGAATGTATTGTAGAGGCCTGTACGCGGGATTTTAACCCAGTTCCGCCCGCTCCCGCAGAAAATCGGAATCATTTCTCCCGCTCCCGCCCGCAACCGAAATCATTTGTCCCGCTCCCGCCTGCGCACATCCAATATCTGACACAGTCTTATCACAAACACATTATCCTCTACTGAAATAACACAGCAGTCATGGTCATCCGGCTCACTGTGAAGTAACCTCATCAAATGCCATTTATTCCCAGTCAAAGCAGGAATTAACCCACAGAGCGGTTTTGCTGGACACCAAAAGGCTGAAGGTTCCACCATCTCTCTAACACCTGATTCACACATGCTGACTCTGCACGGCATGAGTGAAGCGGCAGCACGAGCGCTACAGTTTAGACGGACTGGCTTTTCATACACACAGCGTTTGTGCTGCGGAGCAGCGAGACAATTATACAGACATTCCTGTTTCCAGACGGATAAATGGTCACATCAGTCACTCTGCTCCCTAGAAATATGATTTATAAAAGTGCACGGTATATTTGTTTATCCTGGACAGCATTCTGACTTCTGATTAGGCAAAAGTTTCAAGCCTGGTAGACCAACCTGGGAAACCTGTCTGCAGCACAGAATGTTTAACTAGTATTTTGTCATGAATTACATTTAAAACCGCCTTTTTAAGTTTTTATACGGTCTTCTGTTTCATTTCCACTGATTTTCTTGGCTTATTTCAGTGTATTTGGCCGCGTGACGCATGCAGCTATTCTCTAAACACTGCGCGCTTCAGTGCGGCAACTGGGACTCTGTTTGAAAGCACTGACAACTTAACATGGTCAGCGAAATGAAAAACAAGACTTTCTGTGTCACTCACGCCACGCAGACGCAATATGTGAATCAGACCTATGAAAATTGCGTGTTGTTCATGTGATCGGTTGCTCAAGAATGACTTTATTCATTTTAACTGTTTTACTGTTATTGTTTACATATGATTTAGTGATCGTTCTACTTTATTTAGGCTATTCATTAATTTGCGGGAATTCTCTTCATGCGTGTTTCCGCCCGCTCCCGTCTGACGGAGTCTTATTTCCCTCCCACAAGCAACACTGAAAATTAGTCCCACGCCTCAAGATTTCGTGCCGGGTCCCGCGGGAATCTGCGGTAGAGCAGGCCTCTAATGTACTGATCCAAAAATGACTAAGAATGTGACAGGCTATATAGATATTCTACCTTTGTTGCTGTAAACCCCAAAGTTGAAATGGTGCACTTATCAGATATAGCAGTGGTAACAGAGTAATGTATGGTACATTTTGAACAATGTAAATTGTTTCGGATTAAAGCTATTTTTAATAAACAGAAGAGTTTGCCAAATCTAAACTCTCTTTATTATATGTGCAGTCACACAGGTATCAAAAATACCACAGTTCTTCTAGGATAGCAAGAATAACTATCAGTATTTTTGATACTTGAAGTTCAAAAGCAACTCAAATAGAAATAACGAGTTTCATTCCAAAATTCTGTATATCCAACAAGGTATATTATGAAAAAAAAATCTTATATATAGTCTGTTATGTGTTTTGGAACAAAAAACATTAAAATAGTAAATAGAGAACTGATACTTTTTCTACAGTTATAACTTAAAAGTTCGTCATGGGTATGTTGTATAAAATATTAAACAAGGAGAGGTTTGGAAAATGTTCCAATCAAGACACGGTACCTTGCATTTTAAACAGAGACTCCCTTCAAACAGTGGATGGAAGATCTCAACATGTCCAGTCCCACATGACAGGCAGAAATCTTCAATGTTCTTCCCTTTGTCCAAAACCTCATGTACCATTTCATCTGTAAGAAACATGCAAGAAAATGTTGAGGAAAAAAAACAAAAAACTCTGATCTAATCAAGAAATAAACACTTTTGCAAAAGGTTAGACGTATCGCAAGAAAACAGAAGGTATACATACGCCTGTTGTAGTCCTGCTTTTTCTGAACACGAGGACTTTGATCCTTGTTTTGATCCTTGTTTTGATCTTTATTCTTGGAAGCACTTTTTAGTTTTCTGGGAGTTGGGCGGCTGTCAGATAGAGACGATTTCCTCACAGACTGAGAGGAGTCCTCTTTCCAGTTTAACTGTCTGCTAACTTCTTCATCCTTTAGGTCCACCCAGCCCTTCTGCAGGTCCACAGATTTAGACAGATTCTCCAAGCAGATGGACACGTCTTTCAACCTGAATACCTTTTTAGATTTTCTTTGTTGTGTTCTTTTCCTTTGAAACTCCCTCACAGGTGTTTCAGCTGATTTTTGTGGGCTCCACTTGAAAACTTTAAAGCACCCTGAAAATGAATAAAACCAAGTTATTATACTGACACTTTTAGGCTACGTTCACATTACCAGGCTGAAGTGGCACAAATCAGATTTTTTCCCCTAATGTGATTCAGATCTGATGTTTTCAGGGCTGTGTGGACACGCAAATCTGATCTTTTCAAATCCGACCTGAGCCACTTTCATATGTGGTCCTAGATCACATACGTATCCGATTTGTGGCCATGCGACCTTAATGTGACGCTCAGATCGGAATTGATGTGCTTTTTTTCCACTGCGCGTGCGCCATCATTCAGCGTTACCATGGCAGCAGCGCCGAACAGAAGTTAAAGCCTGTAAACGGTGGAAAAGCAGCTCATCTCACCTTTTTCTCCTTCGTCTCGCTCTAATAATGAAGCTGAGAGCTGATCAGAGATAATGATCTTCTCAGCGAAGCTCGTTCTGCTCGTTAGTCTGTTTGCTGATGATGCATGTGATTCATTCACGTGACATTACCGAGTAGGATGTGCTCATGTGGGTCATTTCAGGACGCCGGTTCGTTCACATTAAAGACAGATTTGAGTCACTTAACACTAACACTAAACGAGTGTGAACCATCCTGTCAGAGAGATCGGATTTGAGGAAAAAATCGGATTTGAGCAATGAGGCTTGTAATGTGAACGTAGCTTTAGTCTGTTTTGCTAAAAGCATCTTATGCTGGCCGGCTTTGAAGACCGTCCCAGAACAGTGTAGGGAAATGAACCGTTTTCTAATGATGATCTACCATTTTCTTTTGATCGAGGTTTAAGTCCATTTGGTCCTGCAGGTTTGAAGCCTCCGAAAGCCCAGTCCAGCAGAACTCTCAGCAGCTCATCCTGAGAGTCCGACTCAAGAGAAAACACCATTTCAGTGCGGTTGGCAGCCACCTATAGGTGCACAACAACAACAATAGCAAAAGGGAGAGATGACACATTCTGCCTGGCAAGAAATATATATATTTTTTCCTTTTCATTTTGTTAGCATAAGGGGTTCTGAACAGTGGCGTAACTAGGATCTAATGGGCCCCAGTGCATAAACAATTAATAGCCCCCCCACCATACAATAATTACTTATAAATAATAAAACAAAATTACAATGTAATTTTCATGTTGATTCTGTATTACATATTAAACGAGTTGATGCTCTTAAGACATGCCACTCCACCCACTAGCATCTAATGTATTCGGTTTGCTATATAACACTATGGAATAAATACAAATAAACACATGTACAGTAAAATTAATGTGTTGTTTGGCAGTGAAATTATGTATTATGTAGGTTAGATGAATACTGTTGGAAGAACACATGGATTTGTTCCACTGCATCAGCAACACCAGATTGAATTTAATGAAATATTGATTAGATAAGTTAGTTATTGGATAGTGACTGTAAATACTAGACTTGATCCACAACAGATTTTTTACTTGTTTATTTGTAGTGATTTTAATGTTAGTGTTTCTGAAACAAGTTACCACCTAGATAAATAACTTTACATATAATTTTATAACCTGCTATCGTTTACTTACGATAAGTTCTTCCAGATATAAAATGTATATCATGTGATACTAAGTAACCTACCGAAGTATGATACCCACCCATTAATTATGACATTATCATAATCAGCTCAGTCACTTCAACATTGCAGTGTAAACAATTCTCCATTCCATATGATATTTTAAATACTTGGACACATTAAGTTAAAGAGCAGTGACGCCTTTAAATGTAATGTCTCTAAAAATATTAATTAAAAAAATAAAAACTTTAATCACTTATTTCACTTATTAATAGATGTTTGTGTGATGCTTTCATTTAGTTCATCTTTTGTGCTACTGGTCTGGCTGTCCAACCAACAGATCAGACTACAGGTCAGAAAATCTCCAGGTACTCCCCATGGGCAGTCCCAGTCTGGAGGGGTCACAATGCAGGCCCCAATACAACTGCCCACTCTGACCCCTCCTCCAGTTATGCCACTATTTCTGAAGGTTCTTTACTTCATTTACACACTCAGCAGTGAGCTGCTGTCACACTGGGGTGCTACTACATGAAAGAACTGCCATTAGAAGCAGCTTTTTTCATTCTTAAGGTTACTTTAATATTTAGTCGTTGTGAGTTTTTTTCATGAAGCGTTGATTTTTATGGGTTTTTTGGTGCTTTTTATTAAACACTCACACAAAGACACTGAAGTGGAAGGAAAAAAACGGCTTATCGAGTAGTAGATTTTAAGTTAAATGCTGAGAGAAAATATTTCAAGCTGTAAATTGAAATTTAAATTTATAAGAGTCAAAAACTGGAGATCTGATCTTTTGGTCTTAAACTTGTCATTACAATTATGGATTTTTTCACTTTCCACTTGAAAACTTCCCTAAAGAGATTTTAAACAGCTTACTTAAGGTAAAGGGAAAACTTAAGGCCAAAATTATCTTAAGACGTTTTATGCAAGTGACCCGTAGCTTTGTGCTACCAGTCTGGGCAGCAGGATGAAGCAGCGAGAAGAAGTCTTAAGATGGTGAGGACAATTTAGAGATTCTAGCACAATGATTCTTTAAAAGAAACAACGTGCTAAATATTACCTGCAGAGAACGAAAGATGGCGTCCTTGTATGCCGTCACAGTAGCAAAGGAATTAGGGCAGAAGCACTGCGCAAACACAGAGTAAGGCTGGAGAGCATCTGAAGGGATCTGCAATAGCAGCAAAAAACAGATTATCTCAAGTCTGAGCCGCTTGAAGAGTCTAGTACAGAACACATTACGCAGTCTGTCCTTATTCTTACCTGAGAGATCATACCATCACCGAACCAAGCCACTTTACACATGGTGTCTCCATCCTTCAGTCTAGTCAACTCCTCCACCAGGCCAGGCCAAACAGCAAAGCCCTCCACCGGGCCCCACACCATCTCCCCTACTGCAAACACCGTCTCATTCTACAGGGGGAGACAAGTTATGGCATTTCTTAATATCTAATAGAATACTCCAGTGTTTTTCAACCTAATCTCCATCTGCTGCGCACAGTAGATAATAATTCAGACAGAACTCCCCCACTGGCTTCTGTTATAAATATGTTTTCAGTCAACAGGTTTTCTGTTCTTTTCTAAGTACACCGAAATGTACTGAAATTATTGTGCATATTAAATCAATTGTATGGTACAGATGCTGCAGAAAAACACTGGAAACTAGAGATGGCACTGAACCGAAGACATAGACACCGGGCCAACATTAACATTAAATACTGGCTTGGATATCCCAGGAAAACTTAAAACTGTTCTGATTCGGTCACAAATTGAACCTAAAAAACAGCACAGAATTGCTTGTAGCACCACAAAACATAAAGTCAGTCATGTTATAACATCAGTAACCCCATGATAACCTCAAAAAATAGCATTAATGGAAGGGTAGGAGTGTTTGTCAATTGTTCTTCTCTGATTCCGATATTGAAACCTCGAGTATCGTTCGATATCAATACTAATCCGATATTTCTTGTTTAAAATTGGCGATGCTGAACATTGGCTGTTTTAAACTGAAGCACTTCACTTTAGATAAGCATCCAAAAGTAGGTAATCACGATCAAACTACTCAAACTTTTCTGCGCGACATTACAGTGAACTGATATCCGAGCCAGCATTTTCTGCCTGCTATCAATACCCATTGATACTGATGTGACATCTCTAAGAAATACTATATAACAAATTTCCTAGAAAAATATTTCTTGTATCGATCGATTCTCAAGGTTTCAGTATGAGTGTCCCGAAAGTAAAAGCGGTATCGCTCCATCTCTACTACAGATGCAGAAAAACACTTGCGTGTTATGCTCGTAGTGAATTTACATGCCCAAATCATAAGGCAAATTATTCTGTAACTGCATGAAATAACTGTAGTTTTTTTTGTAAAAGCTCCCTTCAAATGAACTGAAAATGTGTTTTATGATCATAAACATATTGCTATATGGTTACAATTTACTGCTGAAAGCCAAAAATCTTAGACGCTCTTTGTATTATTTTATAAAAGTAATTTCTACAGTGCAGATCACTGAAGAGACACCATTTGAGATCCAGTTTCTAGCTCAGATTTCGACTTTCAGTAGAAAATAAAAAATTGTAAGTTCAGCTTCTTTTATTATAAAGTTTAAAAATTACATTACCTGTCAATTTGACTGGAAAGAAGACAGTTATAGTTCGCATATGGCACCCACCTTTTGAATGTAGATTATAAAATATGAAAGTTATGAAGTAAAGAATATGACCAAGTGTGTTTTGGAACCACCGGTGGTCCCAAGGAGTTAAAGAGGTTAATAAACATAATATTTGTTCCACTGGCAAATTGTGAGTTATAGTGCTCAACACAACCAGAATTCAAATGGTAAAATGGCTGACCACTTGGTGCACATTTTCATTTTGATTACCTGACATGTGTGATGCATTTCCTCTTTCCTGTTGGGCGTTGAGGTGATTTCCTTCACTGAACTGTGAACCGGCTGAAAATGGGAAACAACTCATTAGTGAACAGTGAACAACTCACTAACACTATGAAGAGAAAATGGAAGCTCTAGATACCTCTCGATAAAAATTATCAGTCCACATAACATCATCGTCAGTGACATCACCATCATCATCATCGTCTTCTTCATCATCCTCATCATCATCATCATCATCAATGACTATTGATTCTGAAATCTTTGTCTTGTCTGCAGGGCAAAATTACAGAAAAATGTGTAATTCAATAACAAACACAATCAGGTGTATAAAGCACATCAATGAGAAATTATTACTAGGTAAATGCAGTCATGTTACTAAACCTTGTTTTTTCCCTTTCACCTCTGTCTCTGAATGAGAGGTATAGGTGTTCGTCTCCATAGGAGTAACATCATCCACTTCAGTCAGGTCAATAATGTCTGAGAATCATAAAAAGTCTTTGTTTAATTCATGAGGTAAAGCAATGATTATTAGAAGGCACAGATCACAAAACATACGCCTTTTCCTTTTTCCAGTTGACTTGGAAATGGAACAAGCATGTGAGTAAGATCCCCTGTTGGTAAAATGACAACTTGCACAACAGCTACTTTGGTACACTAGGTGGAAATGTGCACCTTTTACTCGCTAGACAGGGAAGGAGAAGAAGTCTAGTCATTCTCTCACAACCAATGGACTTATTAAAAGTGAACTGTGCCTGGCCTTGGCGGTCAGTGAGAGCAGTCAATTGAAGATTTACTGACTAAAACTCATGTGAGGCAGCAGCCCTTGCAGTGTTTGCATATTAGACATAAAGTACTGAAGTATATGTGGGAGTTTCATATATGAAAATAATAACCATAAACACTATAGATTTTAAAGGTGAGTTCCACTAATTTTTCAACCTTCCTGCAAAATTAAATGGGTGTAAAAACTCAGAGTGATCTGACGTGAAATGCGCTGTTCTAGAGAAACCTACTGAATCAGGAATGTTCATAGTGGTGGTGATAGGAACCAAATGTCCAAAGTGTTTAATGCCTTTTGCTAGAAATTCGTCAGGAAGAGTCAGGAGACTGGGTTTTTGTTCACGTGTATGCTGAGAATCATGCATGGCGACAGCTTGGTCATCAGTCTGTCGCCAGTCCAATGAATACATAGTCTGACATGGGTTAAGCAGAAACACTGAGGGAGCAAATAGAAAGATGAGGTAGGTTAAAAAGTGAAGGGGGTCTGTGGTCTGGGTTCAGGGGAGAGCGAACGTTCTCGTCTCAGGAGAAACAATACAGATAAAACATTAAAGGACACACAACTCAAAGACAACATAGCTGACACAACAAAAGAACTACATATGATGAAGCATAAAAGAAAGCACACGCCAAAGGACATATGCTTTCTTTCACTGTGTGAGGAAGATTATGGGGCATTGAACGTTTTGGACATTTGAAAATTATTACAGGAAACAGTTTTGAATGCACTGCCTGAAACATTGTTTTTTTGATGGTCCTGAGATCTGGTTTAGGCCTAAAACGTATTTTTACCACTACTTTTCCAGGATCAACACTTTGTATAAAATTTCACGGGTCATTTTGGAAAGTTAAGTGTTTTTTTGGATTCTTATGGTTTCAAAGTATTATTATTCAAATTATTATTAGATCTAAACATTGGAAAAAGTAATCAATAACTATCAGTCAAGTTATATCGAAAAGATATGGACAATATTTTTGGCCATACCAGCTTTGGTTGATATGACTTATAATTATATGGATATGTAAAAATGACCGTTACCTGATGCTACGCTCTCCTGGGTCTCTGGGCTGAGAGGGTGTGACGGGGCACTTTTATAGGAGCTGCTGTCGGTAACATCATCATCCTGTGGCACGTTCTTTTCCTCTGAGGTCTCCATTTCCTTCGCGTGCAGAGTGTAATCACTTGCACCGTTAAACACCTGCAATCAACAGAAAGCAAACACCCAAACAACAACCTTTAGGTTTGGAATTTATGACAGTTTACAGACATTTTAAATGCAATGTAATACTTCTACAAAGCTTGTCTGGTCTGAAGTTCTTAAAGTGCTTCTATAACACATTAACAAATCATTGCTGTCCCCCCAACATAAAAACAAAAACAAAATAGTATTTCCAAAATAACAACTTTACAGGTGAAGACAAAATCATTCTTTATTTGTAATGCCAATTAAAGTAAAAAAGAAAAAAAAAATATTCCAAGCAATTTCTATTGGTCCACTCATCATGAAATGTTTAACCCATTTTAAAGGGCTACCGCTGTGCTCAAATGATGTACGAAAAACAGATTTTTTTCGGACAGCAAAGAAATGCATGCCAAAGCATAGGGACTACATAAGTCGTTTCTTAAAATCAACCTGAAATCAATTTTTCACTTTTACCTTTAACCATTTTAAACATGTTCCTGGTCCTATTATTGAACATTCATTATCATTTGAAAGACAAAATTCAGATTCCATCAGAGTGTAATGACTTTTGCTAGCTTCAAAAACTACATTGGCTACATTTTGGCTACGCTGCTGTGCAATAACAGGAAGTGAAAATATTACTGACCAATATTATTGATCATAAACTTGCCTTATTCACCACCCCCACCTATCATCAGGCAAAACTCTCAGTTAGCTCGATATTAAAGGCACAGATTCCAGGATAAATGCATTTTACGGACAAAAGAACTAATTTAAAACACAGATATAAATGAGTGATACACCCTAAAGCTACAAAAACCCATCACAGCAAACTTGGAACAGCCTCATTTGTCTGAAAATCTTAAATTACAGTAAAATGTAAGTTGTATTTCTCCTAGAAAAAGAATATACTTGATTCTGAACCAGGGTTATGTAGTGTATATTATGCAGTGTCGTATGTCCCACAGTGTTGATTATATGATGCATAGCTACTCACTTGTGCAAAGACGCTTTCCATTCTCAAAGTTTTAGGTAGGGCCAAGAGGCTCAGGATCAGCTTTCGGAAAATGGACGACCTTCCCATAATCCTCATCTCTGCCCTCCAGTACTGCTCCACGGACTGGTCAGCTGGACTAGGTGAGTTTTCCTGCTCAGCAAACTGGTACTCCAAAAACTCATCTGTTAACAAGTTAACATCCTCTGCACTTGGGCAAACCCCAAACAGCACACCTAAATCTGCTACAGCTTTCCCAGTGACCTCCATCTTTCCCTCTGGACTTAAGATGAGAGGCATGTTCCTCAGAGCAGTGTCAGGCAAGGGTAAACTCTTGATGATACTGGAAGCGACTGCAGTGTAGAACGAGATAGCGCTCTTGTAGAAGAGGTCTAGATTGTCAGTCAGCTTGGCATCTTTCTGTCGAAGATACTCCACCACCTGTTCGCCAACCTTCACCTTATCTCTCGGTAGATATTCCATCAGGTCACTTCTGAGGGACCCACTGCTTCTCCTGAAGTGTTCCATGGATTTAGGCTGGAGGAAGCTGGATGTATAAAGCTGGATTAAGCCAAAAGCATCTTTGAGGGCTTTCCTCAAATCCCCATCATGAAGCCAGATCTCTTGAAACTCACACAGAGGCTGTAGAGCATGGCTAAGAAACAAGAAGCTCACTCTTAAGCACTGATCACTGAGGAGACGACGAATTTCCCTTATACCGCCACGAGCATCCAGTGAGCTAAAGTACTGCGCCAAGTCTGACCAAACTGTGGTCATTTTATGGACCACTGTCCTCAAGAGCACACAATCGGATGTCAAAGAGGAGGTGAAGTTGGTGTCCTCCATACTACTGAGCTGTTCCTTCAGAGAAGCTGGGAGAGATGGAAAGTGTTGCTGGACCTTCTTGAGAAGTCCCTGGATGTTCCTGGACAGCTCCATCGCCATAATGCCACCACGACAAGCTTGTCCTGCGAGATCAGTGAGGCTACACAGAAAGAGAGTTCTGGGATTCAGGACCCTCAGGTCTGAAACAAGCTCTGTAGGGTCTGGTGCATTGGAATAAAACGCTGCCAGGTTCACTAGAGGGATTTCAAACTTCTTCAGCGTCTCCGTTAGACAGGTCAGCAAAGCAGCATTTGTCTCCTCCATGGGCTGAACGACATCAAGCAGCCTGACTCTGCTCTTTCCAGCAACCTGGTCAAAATATCCTATCAGGATTACACTACCCTTCTCCCTTTCCATAAGCTCTACTGCATGGTACACATACAGGCAATAAGGGGTTTGAACGCAGGAGGCTGTGATATCAGTGGGGTATTTCTGGCCCAGCACATGTCTGACTGCACTATATGTAACACGTAAGTTGCTGGCCGAGAAAGATGACCAGTGTTTCTTGATAAAAAGCAGCGTTGTCAGGCTGCAGGAGAATGAGTCCACAGCTTCGATTTGTGTGTTGATGTCCAGCTGGCGTCCAGCTCCTTTATTTGCTACACAGAAATAAGAAGCAAGCAAACAATTAGGAAATCTCCACCTTTCATACAAAATGAACAGATGTTGGTTGTTTATAGGAATTGTTAAAATCTCACAGGTTTAGTCACCAGTGCAGTTAGCGCCGCATTTAGGACTATAACTGTAACAGTCCCTAAGTTCATAATCTTAGCCTAGCTACAGATATGAAAAGTGCATTACAGACACATTATAATTTGTCAAATTCTCTCAAATACTGTCGTAACATCTGTTTTAAACATTATGTTAAAAAATGGAAAATACCATTTGAGACTTTCAAAATCAGAAATGGTCAGTTTCTCTTCTAACATACACTGTACGTCCAAAAGTTTTAAACACCCTTTTTAAACTGTGAATTCAGCCACTTTAAGGTGTACCTAGGTATACACAGGTGCTCAAATGCGCACACAGCTGGTATAATCTGCATAGAAAAGCATTAACAATACAATGAGATGCTCTGAAGCAGCCACACCTGAACTTAAGGTTACAATGCCCAATGGCGAGCACAGACTGAAGGTGTTTTAAGACTACTCGCATTGACTGGGCTGTAGAGCAGCGCAACTGTGTTCTCTGGAGTGATGGAGCTCAATCCAATACTTTTGGGATGAACTTGAGTGGCGTTTGTAATACGGAACTTATCATCCAACATCAGTAGCTGACCTCACTAATGCTTTTGTGGCTGAATTAAATCAAAACCTCACAGCAATGTTTAAAGATCTAGTGTAAAGAGTTCTCTGAAGAGTAAAGACTGTTACTGCAGCAAGAAAAGCTGGATGAACAGGTGTCTACAAACTTCTGTAGTGTATTTAAATTGCATGATAGCTATCCAGTTGGGTCGGTATGTCCAAGACATTTCTCTCAAAATGAACAACGCCGTTCCCATCACTAAAGAGGATGTGATAGTAAAGACAGATAGTGATGGTAATAGCAGTTCGGTATCTGATCATCTTAATTATAACAAAAAAAAAAAACAGCATAAATGAATACTGGTGTGATTTTGATTTCACTGACTTTGCAAGTAAGTAACACAGTGGGAGAATGCCTAAAATTAAGCCAAATAAGCCCTCAAATGAAGTATCATGCAGTGTGTACTACACTGTTAGAAGTAAAGGTGCTGGTACATTTTTCATTCATCAAGGTACAAACAATATAAATGTACCCTCAAAAGGTACAATAATAGTTTTATGGTCTGATTGTGAACCTTAAATAAGTTTTTCCAGGAGAACAGTCTGTATTTGTACCTTTTCATATCCTAATGTTTTAAAACAGAACAATAAAATAAAAGCCTGGAGACGAGACGGGGTGTGTGGAGTCAATACAACTCAGAAAATATCATTTCAATGGATTATGGTACAGTTATGTTCCTTGACTAAAGGTACTGAGATGTTTCCTTGAGGCTACCACCCCAGTGAAAAGAGGGGAACTGCCCCAGTGACAGTTTTGTACCTTTATTTCTGAGAGTGTATATAAATGTGAAATGTAGGGGAAAAACTCAAAGCCTTACTGAAGTCCAGCTGTGCAAGAGCCTTAGGTTTCTTATCAAGGAAAGGCTCTAGACTCTGTCCACCACGTGCCACCACAGGATTGTATGTCTGTCCTTTAAAATTCTGATCAAAATACACTTTGAACCATCTCAGCAGTTTGCCAGTCTCTACAAAGTTGCCAAGGATCACCAGGTCAAACTCCAGCGGCTGTAAGGGAAAACAAGAACCAAAGAAAGAAGTTGCTTTGTGACAGTGTCAACTGTAAAACGAACTACACAAATAAAACTGAATTAAAAACCATGTATGAATACATGAAACTGTTCATGATTTCATCTCTAGCATGTAAAATGTCCGCATAGTTGTAAAGAATGATCAAACAAGCCCCCTATCCTTGAATTTATCTTTAGGTTCATACCAAAAAAACCAAGCAAAAAACGCCAGCCCCCTTTAAGTCTATTTGTTTGCCTCTAGTACTGCATACTGAACAACAATCAGCATAAGATTCATCATTATTCAAGATTCAATCATAAGTGAAGCTGAGAGGGTCCTCACTCAAGTGTTTTGGCCCAGCGTATATGAGACAAACCTGAAAACAGGCTAATAGGTTAAATATCATCTCTAAAAACATATACAACTTTGTATCAAACACTGGAATCCTTCACTGAGCCATGAGTCCAGAATGAGATTTGCAGACGTTAACTCACTTGCGATAGAACTAGAGCTTTGACTGCTTTAAATTAGCTATAAACCATCAACATGGCTTTGCATTTAGTAACTCAGCTAAATGAAGTAAGAAAACATGTTCCTCAACACAATTTCTTAAACTTTTCACAAGACTTACCTTTGCATCGTCGCAGCTATCAAGGTACTGTAATAACGAACATCTGAACAATTTTGAATGTCTCTGGCTATTTATAGCATTCACCTTAGGAAGGGGTGCATAATTGTGTAACACTTTGTTGTACATTAAAAAACGTAAATGTTCTAAAATATTAACTAACAAATATAGTTTATGGTAAAAGTAGATTTTTTGTGTTAGTGCATTACAGGACATTACTTCACAGGTACTGGCAGAAGCAGCTGTGGGGTCTAGAAGATTGGAAATTTCCACCTTTGGTGACTACATGTGCTTATACACATGAGTCAGTACTAGAAATGAGATGGAAAACAATTGGGCCTCATTCACCAAAATCTTTTTCTTACCAAATTCAACTCACCAAAGTTTTTTTTTTTAATTTGTTCTAAAGAAAGGTCCTAAGAAAACGTCTACGTTAGATTTGTGACCCAATTACTTTTATCATAAACTATATTTCTTAAACCGCAACAGTGAATGAGGCCTATTGTTTGTAATCAGCCATAATTTCAACATTGGACTGACAATAACTACATTTTTCCATTTATCGGAAAAAAACATCGCCTGTACATACGTTGTGCATCCCTGCCAGTCAGTTCACAATTCAAAAATAGTTCATCATTTGCATGGAATAAACTCACTTTTTTGATGGAATTGAGGTTGAAGGCCTTTTCAAGCAGCTTGAAATTGCTAAGCATGTCTGTTTCATCTTTAGCTTTGAACTTTACTTTCTTTAAGTCAATACAGCCGGGGATAAGCAAGTCCATCAACTGGCAGTAGGCAGCACCTGGAGAAATACAGGCACATTTCAGCGGTGTTCTCACAAGACTTCAGGCAGTTTGACAAATCACATTTATTTAGGGACTAAAATGTACCATCTCTGATAATTGCAGCTACAATATCCGTCAACATTACTGCAGTTATCATGTTACATCTGCACATACCACCTGCAATCATCAGAACTGGACAAGCCTCATGATCTCTGCTGAGTTAAACATATGAATAAAAGCCAGAGTTTCATACCTGAGCATGTTTCTTCCACTTTGATGAAGCTAGACTGCAGCGTGTGATTGAGCCAGGCCAGCAGCTCAGAGTCAGCATGTTTATCATTTGGCGTAAGAACCCCATTCACCACCATCTTCCCATAACCTGATGAAAAAAGCACGTATATGAACAATTTGCTTTGTAGTAACCAACACCCTATATAGCACACCCAATGTAATACACAATAAAAGACAGCATCCTGGATTGGCCCTGAGCATAATAAATAATTTTACAGTTATGTCAGTCATACATGCACTCACAAAGCACTTTATTAGGTTTACCTGTACACCTCATTTCATTCAACTGTCTATAATAACCAGCCACTCTTGTGGCAGCAGTGCAGAGCATAAAATCATGCAGATATGGTCCAGCAGAGATCAATGTGATCTCAGTGACTTTGACCGTGGCCTGGTTGTTGGTGCTGGACGTTTAAGTACTTCTCTCCAAAGATTTTCATTCTCAAAATGGTGCAATAAAAAACATCCAGTGATCGTCAGTTTTGCGTAGGGAAATAAATGCCTTATTGATTAAAGAGGTCGACGGAGAATGGCTAGACTGGTTCAAACAACCAGAAAGTCTACAGTAACTCACAAACAGCATGAATCCACAGACCCAACATGCATTTGTGGCACATTTTGGGCCCTTTAATACCAATCAATCATTGCCTGAATGCCCCAGCCTATGTGAGTGCTGTTGCTGCCCATGTGCAACCCTTCATGGCCACAATTTACCCATCCTCTAATGGCTACTTTCAGCATGTTAATGCACCATGTCACCAAACAAAAGTCGTCTCAAACTGGTTTCATGAACATCACAATAAGTCCAGTGATTTTTCGGTGGCCTTCCCAATTTACTTGTTCCAAAATCAGTGTCTGCTACCACGTAAATACAACAACTGTCTCATATGCTATGTAAATATGCAACTAGATATACTTTATTTCTACTGTTATACTTAACTTATGTCTATTATTATTTTTCTGCATAGTATATGTAAGTTTATGTGAAATGATATGTCTTGCTACTGAAACACTGCAATTTCCTTTCGGGATCAATAAAGTTCTTTCGTTCGTTCTTTCTATCTATCTATCTATCTATCTAAATCAACGGACCTGAAACCAACAGAACGCCTGTGGGATGTGGCAGAATGGGAGATTGACAGTTTGAAAGCGCACCAGAGAAATCTGCAAGCATTGCTTGATGATGCAATCATGTCAAGATGGACCAGAAGCTCAAAGGAACGTTTCCAACATCTTGTGGAATCAATGCCAATATAATTTCAGGCTGTTTTGAGTGCAAAGGGAGGCCCCACCCAGCATTATTACCGTGTTACTAATAAAGTGCTTGGTGAGTGTATGTAATTACATGTAATTGACTAAACACTTAACAAGCATTTAATCACAGTTACTGACACTTTGATTCCACTACGGAACTTCTAACTGCAGATTTAAACCGTAAAGATGTAAACAACGTCATTAAGACTGGTTTGATGTGAAATGACTCATCTAGAGGAATCAGAACTGTTCACACAGTGGTGGTGAACCAGTCGCCCAAAACATTTAATTAATGGGAACGATTACAAATACGCTGCTGGATGTTTGAGACATCGTTTTACAACAGCTTTGACCTAAGCTTTAGGCAGAAAATGTCTCTGTTCTGAGTATTTACCACTACTTTACCATTATCAAATCAAATGAGACAAATCCAGGTTCACTGGTCATACTGGGCAGCATATAAAATGGCTATATTTGCACTGCAGACACTGTGACTTGTGGTTCTTATCACCACCACTGTAAAAAAAATGAACCGTAAGTTTCTCTACAATGCACCATTTCACATGAAAACAGTCTGAACTATTGTGTTTACATGTTAACGATTGCATCATGCAGAGCGCTTGAAAAATCAGTGGAATTCCCCTTTTGTTATCTCACACCTCAGCTACAGGAAAGCACGTTGCTCATGTAAACACTAACAAAGTTCGCCCTTAACGATGCGTCGCATTGCTATTCCCAGTGTAACCGACGGCAGCGCAATTCCGACGGTTTCTTCGAAGAATACTAAACCTGGTTTGTGTCTTTAGTCGAAGAAATAAACAGGTTTACTGAACCCACGTCCTCACTGAATCCTCTCCGCTGCCGCTAAAAGTTAAAGGGAGGACCGGTGGGGCAGCCTCAGCCAATCAGCGGGAGCCGTGCCAGGCACCCGGATGACAATAGGCATTCATTCATCCATTCATTCTCATTCATTCTCTCTGCATTGTTGAATGCGGGGTAGGAAAACACAAAGAAGTGTTTCCATGCATTTGAGCTACAGTGCTGTGCTTTCTTGGTAGGAACGTGGCTGCAAACTGGGTTAAAATTAAATAATTTTTCATTTCTTAATCATACACGTTTACATTATATTGTAGGGGTAACGTTACTCCACAAAGCAGGGTTTGTCAGTCAGCCAGATAGTCTAAGCTCAAGCACACAGGCAAATCTGTCCAATAAAGGGACGTTTCTTCTGGGCTCCCCTCACTTTTGGCTTCCTTTATCGAGCTTAGTGGAAAAAAATATGTTTTGAGAAATAAAGCGTAAAGCAAGTGGGGAAGGAAACAGTCGGTTATGTGTTCCTGAAGGGTCTGTTTACTTTTAGGACCTTTTACGCTTCAATATTTACTAAGTTACTGGGGACCCCTCATTTGTTTACAGGCAAACCGACTGATTTTTAGTGCTTCAGCACCTACAAGTATACTGTGCCTTGTTAAATGACGCAGAATACAGTGTGAAGATATAAATAGTCCAGTTTCTTGCAGATGTGAATCCTTTCAGCGCCGCTAAACGGCGTTATCAGCCAAAATGTCCTCCCAGTTTAGCTACTAGGAGGCGCTTCCAGACCCCGGAGGACTGACTTAGTTATTCGGCGACACACGTGTTCTCCTCACTCTGCAATGTCCGAGGAAGCCTTCAGCCCGTCTAACCACCACCACAGTAAGGCATGTCTGCTTTTACGAGTACAATTAGAAACCACGCTTCTACCCGTAGTGAATATTCGCTGCTTTCTTTAATACAAACTTTAAACCAACAAACTCAGCGACTTACCAGCTCCCGCGCAGCTCAGCAGCCCGCTAATTGTGTTGACTTCGACCGTAGCTCCGCCCGTAGCTCCGCCCCCAGCTCAGGGCCAGCAGCGCTGCGATTGGTCAATGTTCTCAGAGAAGCGGAAACCATTGACCGAATGAAAACAAACAACGCTGGATTTAATATCTCGATACGCGTCACGGTTTTCAACATAACCGGTTCTCAAGATTCATATTCATAACCAAAACATGATTTTCACGAACGTGCTAACACGTCTTTTCTCCAACTATACGTGTTGGATACATCCGCTCCGAGTGCAGGCCGGGCCAAACCTTACCACAGCGAAATTACGTCGTTTTATTAAAACAAAACTAATTTTACGTTTAAAATGTGAAATCACGAAATTTAATATTCATAGCGCATTACGTCATTTTATTAAAAGAATACTAATTTTACGTTTAAAATATTAAATCATGATACTTGCTATTCATAGTAAAATTACATCATTTTATTAAAAGAAAACTAATTTTACGTTTAAAATGTGAAATCACGAAATTTAATATTCATAGCGCAATTACGTCATTTTATTAAAAGAATACTAATTTTACGTTTAAAATATTAAATCGTGATACTTGATATTCATAGCTAAATTACGTCATTTTATTAAAAGAAAACTGATTTAACGTTCAAAATGTTAAATCACGATATTTAATATTCATAGCGAAATTACGTCATTTTATTAAAAGAAAACTAATTTTACGTTTAAAATATTAATTCACGATATTCAATATTCGTAGCGAAATTACGTCATTTTATTAAAAGAAAACTAATTTTACGTTTAAAATATTAATTCACGATATTCAATATTCGTAGCGAAATTACGTAATTTTATTAAAAGAAAACTGATTTTACGTTTAAAATATTAATTCAGGATATCCATAATAAAAGAATCAAATTAAAAACATGTACATGTATATCTATATACCCCGCCCACGTTAGGCGACAGCAGGACAAAGCGCATTAAATGTCTGACTTTTAACGCCAGCCTACGTGAGTTCGTTCAAACAGGCTATGGCGGGTTGTGGGCGGACTGGCCACGCTGTGCAGGGGGCCGATTAGACTCGTTCACGCTGACGCTCATAACAATAAAGCAGTCATTCATCTGAAATTGTCTACATATACCAGTTTAAACACCTCATAAGCCACTTCGCTGTATACAGAATGGTACTTATTGAACGTGTTTATGCTCGCACGTAAAGCAGTTTCCGCTTCTACGCAGTAGCTGATGCTTTTAAGCTCTGTGCAGATTTCGTACTTGGTTTATTCCAAGTTGACCGGGACGAAATTTCATCAGACGTCGTGTTCAGCAATAGTGCTCTATATAATAGCTCCTAGGGTTGCCAATCGTCCACGATTTCCCTGGATTGTCTAGGATTTTGGTTGCCTGTCCAGGAAAAAACTAATTCCATTTTCATATGTTACAATTTCTTATGTGTAACTTTTTTATCCAAATCAAACTATTTGTGTACAAAAAATGGGTTTGCTTAGCTTAGATTACCTAGGTGGTGATAGGAACCAGGAGTCACAATGTCTGCAACACAAAACCACCAGTGACCTTCGTACCTACGGACCTTCTGAGTTTTTATATCTCGTATTTCCAATTTTGTCGTTTTTCAGTTTTTTACATTGTCTTTACATTGTGTATAAATTTCATGATGAATAGACCAAAAGAAAGGACTAAAAATTACTTGGAAAAACGTCTGGTTCCATTGACTTACATTAAAAGTAAAGTATGTTTTTTCTGATTGGCTATTGGTATTGGGGTTCATTGAAAAAATGAAAAACTCCTTCAGTGTGAATGGGTGAGGCTCAACTGCTGTAAGCTGAACAGTATATCACCGCTATCTGAACAAAACCTTATATGTCCAAATTGGTACTTTTACAGGAGAAGGACACAACATTCTTGACTTATAATTGAAGTTAATATAACATTTTTTTTACAAGTAATTTTAAACCATTTCTGTTGGTCCATTCATCATGACGTTTTAACACAGTGCAAAAGGTGGCTTAAATTTTCTAATTGGGCAATGGTCAAAAACGACCAAAAAGGTTTTTGCAGCACAGTGGTGATATCTATACATATCTTTTAAAGGCCAGTTTTTGCTGCTTGGTTTGCCTGTAAGGACTTTACAGACTGGGGGAGCAGTGAGTGCGTTTACATGCACTTAATAATCTGATCATTATCAGATTTTGGCGGTCGATTATTCAATTAGTCATTTAAACAGTGTGCTTTGAGCACATGTATACTCTTACTCTGATTTCTTTCGGGTTTTCTTAGTCTGTGCATGTGCTAAAACAGAGAGCTGTCCCAGAAACAGCAAGCAGTGTTAAACATAGCATTCACGACAAAAAACTTTGGAGCAGAACTGAAACCAAATATATGCTTAACGAAATGAATAATTTGAATATTTTTCATGTTCTAGATGATGTATATTCATATTTTCCTTTAAAGCGACTCGATGTGGTGTGCCAATTAATTTTATGTTACATTTACATCTCATTCTGTGAGTTTATTGGCTGGTTGCAAAGCAGTAATCCAATTATTGCTCAGCTCATGCAAACCCAGAGTTTTCCCATTATCTGAATACCCAAGTGCATGTAAACTTGTTGAATGAATTACTGACAAAATCTGTTTTTCTGCAGTTATCAGATTATTAAGTGCATATAAACGGACTCAGCGTTTATATATATATTGGTGCTTTCCCTCATCTAGCACACCTGACTCAGCTCATTAGTGAACGATCAAGCTACTCAAGTGCTGGGTCAGGTGTGTTAGATCAGGAAAACACAAACATATGCAGGACAGTGGGTGCATCAGGACGAGGTTTGGGAACCAAAATAAAATCTAAAACAAATTCTCAATAAATAAATCTAAAGTAATATACAAACCAATACCATACAGGAATAAGACATAATACCAACAGTAATAGTAAAAATAATGCAAATTGTAACAAAGCACGTTTTCACAATAAATCACCTATCTTCTCTGCTGCTCTTTCCAAAGTGTTTGATGTCCCTCCACTAGCACCACGGACACCAAGGGTGACCCTACACATTGTTATGTACGTGATATTAATACACTGTTAGGTACTTCTGTTATTGCGTCCACTTGCAGTATATGGAGTCGTATTTAAAAGTTTGGGCTCCCCTGGTCAAATGGCATAAATAAGTGAACACATTCTTTACAGAAAACGCACGTCTGCACTATTACTGTTTCTTTGCTGAATTTAACATCTTAAGAAAAAAACATAAAACATAATATGTGGCCTGTGCAAAAGTTATGGCACATTTTCTATTGTATGTTTTGTCCTCCAGTGTGTTAACCCTTGTGTGGTGTTGGGGTCTGTGGGACCCATTTTCAGTGTTTATCAAAAGAAAAAATGATGCGATTTATTATTATTTCAACCTCAGATTCTTGGTCTTTGCTCTTTTTCTGTGAAGAACATGTAAAATAACCCATTTTCAGTGCCTTCACACTGTTTACCCCCTATACATTGAACCTGCGGGGAATAAAAGTGTGGAGGTGCTGTGTCCTTCACTCTGTTCTCCTCCTACATGACATGCTGTTAGTCTGTGTGTATGTGTTTATATATGTGTGTGTGTGTGTGTGTGTGTGTGTGTGTGAGGGTGGACAACATGGACAGGCTGCTGACTGGCTACAGCTGCTAAAGGAGAACCCTACGCTGGACACTTGTGATATTTTAAACATCTGGTATTTTTACATAAATTCTTATGACTGTATTGATTTAAAAAAAAAAACAATAATGCAGTGGGTCCACCGGACCACTGAGTAACAGACACATCAACACCACACAAGGGTTAAACTCAGCAAAAAATGCCAAATTTAAGTGTGTTCACTGTAGATGTGTTAACTTATTTTCACTTAGAAAAACAGCAAAACATATCACTTAACTGGGTGTGTTCACCTGCACCTGCATACAGCTGTACATCAATAAAACAGATCTGCTGCGGAAAAGTAGGTGCTGCAGTGCCTCTTCAGAGCAAATTTACTTCAGAGCTGTTACTGATGACTCCAACAGCAGGAATGATCATTGCAGTGATGGAGGGAGGAGATTTTTTGGAAGTGGTATCTTGATAGTTGTTCACACATAGTGCTCAGTTATGGCATGGATTGTAGCTAGAGCTCAGTTTGAGCAACTGAAGCTAAATATGTTTGTATGAGTGTGGTGGGTAACGACAGTGAGAGATGCATTTACCAATAGCTGCAGGACACTATGGAAAAATGGAAAGGGAACACTGTGGAGATCTAATTTGTGGAGATACATAATCTGTAACATGACATGGGTGATAAGAACCAGTATGGAGTCTCCATGGCCATTGAATGCATGTATGGGAGCTTGTATGGAGTTGTTTTGCCAGATTTCGAAGACTCTAGATAAGGTAAACTGAAGACCTGGAGAGGAAGAGCATCAATCAATCTACAGTCTGCCAGATCTTTCACAGACTTACACCAGATCTCACTTGTAAACTACTTTCATATTAACTCCACTATCTGGTGTTGACCAAAGGAGTACAGGTTCATCTTGTGAGTCCTGGTTCCTCTCAGTGGCTGCATCAGCTCTGCCTGTAGCTACAGAAAGCGGAGAGGAAAGAGGGTTTCATTCAGATGCAGAGCTTCTTTTTTGTGCTCGTACAGAGTTTGTCTCAACACTGTCACCTCTGGTTTTGCTCATTAGTGGTCTGGACCCTGATTTCTCTAAAGCTACTTTGAGACAACGTGATGTGCCTTAAAAAAGCACTACAGAGACAAAACTAGACTGGAGCTCTAATTGAGCTCAGTGTAAAAATGCTTCGTCAGTTCAACCTAAAAAAATTACTTCATGTGGTAACAAGCAATTGAACACTTTTACCCAACTCAAATACTCTGAATCAAATAATGCAAAGCAAAAACACAGCAAAAAACAATATCTCAGCAAATAAAATCACCTTAAATCTTGTCATTATATCTAACATTTCATATTTTAACATTGATGTGAGAATACGATTTTTTAAACTTAATTTTGGGATTATTTTTCAAAAAAGCAAAATTATCTGGCAGTTTCCCTAGATAAAATGACTTGAAACGTAAAAGTAAAAAAGTGAAAAAGAAGGATCTAGAAATAAGCTAAAAAGTCGTATTATGACAATCTCATTCAGTAATATTTGTTATTAATCTCATGATCACAAATATTAGAAATAGCTACTAGATTTAAGATGTTTTCATCATGTTATCATATAATTCGAGTGGGGAGTGCACATTTTTGCTTACAACAATATTTTTAATCATTTGGATATGGTTGTAAGAATGCTATAAAATTATTTTTACTTATTTCTAGACATCTTGACCTTACCTTATTTTAAGTCATTTTAAGTTATAATTGGAAATTATCTCACTATATTATTAGAAAATATAGCTTATTTTTAGCATACGCCTTAAAACAGGCAAAAATATCTGCCAATACACTCTCAGAAAAAAAGATACTAAACCGTCACTGGGGCAGTTCCCCTCTCGTCACTGGGGCGGGACCCTCAAGGGTACATCTCAGTACCTTTAGTCAGGGAACATAACTGTACCATAATCCACTGAAAGTCTCGTCTCCAGGCTTTTTATTTTATTGTTCTGTTTTAAGTTATTCGGTTATGAAAAGGTACAAATACAAACGTTTCACCTGGAAAAACCTATTTAAGGTTCACAATTGGACCCTAAAACCACTGTTGTGCCTTTGAGGGAACATTTACATTGTTTGTACCTTGATGAACGAGAAATGTACCTGCACAGAACCTTTATTTCTAGCAGTGTACAGTGTGAAATGTGTGAAATTTTTTTTTACAAGTCCTAAATTATTCTTACAACATTCTTAAAATGAGAAATATTAGAAATATCAACTAGACTTAGGATGATTTCACTTGCCAAGATACTATGTTTTTTGCAGTGTGAAGAACAGCAATATTTAACATCAATACAAACCTCAAAAACACACACACACACACACACACACACACACACACACACACACACACACACACACATCATCTAAACCGCTTATCCTTCTGGGTCACGGTGGGGTGCTGGAGCCTATCCCAGCTGTCATTGGGTGGAAGGCACCCTGGACAGGTCGCCAGTCCATCGCAGACCTCAAAAACACTTCAAATATATTTAGAGGAAACATTCAACACAGCTCAGTTCTTTTCATATCTTCTTTATTGGTGTTGTCAATGCCACTAACATCTTTTTTTTTTGTTACGTTTTTTAATGGTGTACATGTCTGCAAAGAAAACGAATACAAAAGCATACAAAAGTACAAAAGTATAAAAATAAAGTCAAGGGGTGTTTATCAAACATGTTCCCGAATGGGCTCTGTATAAAAGTACTGTTAACATACACGTGTTCAGCATTAATGTGCTCATTATGTTACCGAATAAGAAGCGGATGATCAACTTTCATGCATCATATTTAAAAGAACGACAATGTAAAATGTTAGGATTACAAAAATATTAAAACAGCACACTACAATATAAAGTCTACAAAATGTTAAAAGGTAGGCAGTGCTATTTGTACATATATCTTTTCAGCTATTAAGCAAAAGCTTTAGTAGGATGTTTTTTTTAAGTAATGAAAAAAATATATAAGTGGCTAAAACTACTATATAACACACTAAAACCAATAAAAGTCTGCTTACTGTCTTATAAAAGGTTAATATTTTCAAGCTTTGAGTCTAGACAGTAGTTGTTCTGAAGTATGTGTATGTGAATGTATGTATTGGTGCTTAAGGGTGTCTCTTATTAAGCAAGCAAGAAGCCGCAGTCTGGGTTACTCTTTAAAAGGCACCACAAGTGAACGTTTGAAAAAACAGCTGTAAACTGTAAGAGTGTGTCTAATCAAAACACCACTGGCTGATAAAAAACATAAGAATGCAACCAGCTGTGAGACGGTGTCCAACACGACTAAACGAGAAGGACACTAGGGTATCGTTTTGACCAGAATTGGTGCTTAGCTGATTTGCAAAATACAATTCCAGAACAGGCACATGTGAAGGCCCTGAAAACCAGCTGAAATGTAAACATGCTGAAGAAAACACAGTACAGTGATAACGTTTACCTGCAATTATTCACTAAAAATGATTTGTACAGGTAGAGAATTTGAACTTTGGTGTGTAGAATTTTGTGGCAATGCCGTGTAGTTGTGTATATGTGAGTGTGTATATATATATATATATATATATATATATATATATATATATATATATATAATTACTGCTGTCGGAAGAAAACCACGTATCTCCAAAAAAGTAACTTCACATATATATATGTGCCAGTTTGTGTATACTCGTATGCACAGTTTTGCACCCTGGTCAAATTATGTTTTGAAAATTACACATCCTCTACAAAGAACACTGTTCACATCAATTTAATGCGCATTTACTGTTTATTTGCTGAATTTAACATGTTGTTAAAAAAAACATAAAATGTGGCTTGTGCAAAACTTATCACACATTTTATATTTTTTCTTGTATTTTTACCAAAAAAAAAATCCAAACTCAGCAAATAAATAGAAAGCGTGCATAAAAAATTGCCAGAAAAAAAAGTCATATTTAAGCTTGTTTCCTGTAGAGGGTGTGTTAACTTATTTTAACCTGAAAATTCAACAAAACATATAATTTGACTGGAAGTGTTCAAACTTTTGCCTATGACTATCATTGTTTTGCAGTGTCAGTGACATACAGACTGTTTAAAAATGTTCCTTTATAGATTTTTCTTACTATTCTTACTATTTTAAAAGTCTAACTAAATCAGCACCTTAAGTCAACCATGTGGAATAAAATTGTACAGAGTAAAACCATTTAGCTTTCCTACAGCATGGATTCTTTAAAAAACCTCTTTGTAAAAGTATTTTTTGTGGCCTCACAGCTTAGTTTTTGCACTGACTCACTTTTTTCAAGTATTTCCTTGAGAATAAACCTACAGTACAAGGAACACAATACAAATGCTCGTCAAAGGACACAAAAAAGAGTCCCTTCTCATCACACATATAACAACATCCCATCAATGGTCCACTGAAATTAAAGACAATAAGAGAAAATGTTGTGAATGACACTGTATCTCTAAAAGCCGCCTCTCTCTGGCAGCATTGGTGTTATGATTGAAAAATAATGTAAAATGAAATCTAGAAAACTAGATTGAAAAGTCTAGAAACCACGACGTTGAAATGAAGACTCAAAGTCAATGTCATCTGATCTTTGGCATGACCGACTTCTTTTTTTTCCTACGCGTAAATCCACTAGTTTTCATGGACATCTCTGACATTTTGGCGAATAACCTGACATTTCACTTGTCTTATTTGCAACAAAAAAGGTTACGGTACTTTGAAATGTCTTTTCTATTAGAAATATTGAAGTGGTCTCTCAGCAGTGACAGTAAATCAGAAGAACTGAATGTCCATTCTGAAAAACTGACCGCAAACAGAGAAAGATGTCCTTGTAGAAATATACTAATAATATACCAGTGTATTTGATGTTCAGTGTTTGCTTACTGTGAAAGGCATTCACACTTTTGGAAAAAAAAACACTCTGGTATATACCTCATACAATGCCCTACAGTCCTCAGTGCACGACCATCATGTGAAATATAAGCTTATTTGCCAGAATGTCAGCTTCGTCCACTGAGATGAGATCTTCAAACCTGTCCAACAGACTTTTTGTCCATAAAGGTAGAAAAGGCACCATTATGAGAATTAGCTCCCTGAAAATGAAGTACTTATGTGTAGCACTTTACCAGCTTGAAGTTGCTCCATGGTCAGAATATGGCGTCTTGTCTTCCCTTCAGCAGGGCTTTTGAAAATGAAACACAAGGCTCATTGGCTCACAGCTACAGCACCACCTACTGGACAAAAGCTAACTTGGGCTGCTTTAAAGTTATCCTCTCTCTGGAAATGAAACACCGACGGAACCTCGCATGCTCCTCAGCATTTCGTGAGGCCGTTCAGTGCCCTGTTTTGTGATGTTAAAGCAGTGTGACTTTGGGCTCAGTGGATGGGGATTTGTTCTTTTCCCGGGCGGTTATTCGCAGGCGAAGTAGTCCTTCAGCGGGGCAAACAGGTGCCGGATCACCGGCACACTCCAGGCGCGACCCAGCAGCTTCTGCCGGGCGCCACGGCCCATGTTGGACACGTCTGTGTAATGGACAGGAAACCCGAAAATCCTGGAAGATAGAGAGAGGCGTGTCTGTTAAAATCAGCGTTTAGAATTCAGGACTCAACAACAGGGGTGTCAAACGCTACCACAGAAATGGCCATATAAAAAAATCTCAGCAAATCTGTGTTTTATTTAAATTTTTATTTAATATTTTGCCACGACCCAAGTGAGCCATTGTTTATTAAAAATATGCAAAACTGCCCCAACAAAATAGGCATTAAAAACATATTCAAAAATAATTCTAAATAAAAACCAATTGTTTAGGTATTTTTTAAAAATTGCTTATTTGCTTAAACTAGACACCAGGCGACTTTGCTTTTTTGCATAACCGCTGGCCCAGAGATTGTTGTTGCGGATCAGAATACACACTATATTGCAGTGCATGCTGGGGATTGTAGTGCATCTCAGGGTGAAACGGGCTAATAATAATAGGAAATTAAAATTAATTTGCGGGCCAAATAGGATTGTGTCACAGGCCTGACTTGGCCCACGGGCCTTGTGTTTGACAATAATACAAAAATTTAACACATTAAAAATCTAAAACAATTCTGTTTACATTTGAAATATATTGACAACATTTTTTCCTATGGACAGTTTTACTTATGAAGCAGTTCTTATCTATATAATGTGGGCAAAAGTACAGCCAGTATTCAGGCTTCTAGATGGCTGCTGCTACTGTTTTTAGGTGTCTGAGGTACTTTTATGCATTTTTATTTAAGTGTTATACAGTTTCAGAAACCATGTAATCAAGTCTGTTTGAAATTATTTAACAGTTCAAGATTTGAGGCCACTGTGTGAAGCTTTACACATTTAGTTTGTGAGATGCTAACTGGTAATGAATAAGCTTACTTGCTAGCTAATACATTACTACTAAAGCAAACATTGCATTTTTAAATTTATTTTGTCCAATTGACTTCTTTCAGCGGAAAACTGGCTACTTTTAAGGGGGAAATTGTATAAATTTAAATATTACATGAATACTTGAAATATTTAAAATCTAAATGTCACCAGGTGCTCAGTCTTTAAAACCTGTCTATTTGCTTGAACTAGAAATCTGGCATCTCTTCTTTGCTGCGAGTTCATTAATACTTGGGCTCAGTTTCTGAGCTGCTGAGCTGATGTTTATGTTGGCTGAACTGCAGCTGAAATGCAGCTGGTGTATTTGGTGATATGACTGGTGTGGAATTGTGTAGAATTGAGGTGTAAACGCTGTCCCATAGATGGTTGTTGGGGTAGGAGAGTCAGAGTGCATATTACGCTGCAGTGCATGCTGGGTACTGTAGTGCAGCGCATTGTGAAACAGGCTAGTATTAATAGAAAATTAGAATACGTTTGTGGGCCGGATGTGTCATGGGCCTGACTTGGCCCGCGAGCCTTGGGTTTGACACAGGGGCTCTACAATAATACAAAAATTTAACACATTAAAAACCAAGCAATTCTGTTTACATTTGAAATATATTGGCAACATTTTCCTGTGGACAGTTTTTACTTATGAAGCAGTTCTTATCTATAAATTGTGGGCAAAAGTACAGGCAGTAATCAGGATATACAGTTTCAGAATCCACATAATCAAGTCTATTGGAAATTATTTAACAACTCAACATGATTTGAGGCCACTGTGTGAAGATTTACACATTTAGTTTGTGAGATGCTAACTGGTAATGAATAAGCTTACTTGCTAGCTACATTAGCCTCAAAGCTTTAGTGCAATACTGAAGCAAATGTTGCATTTTTAAACTTATTTTGTCCAATTGACTTCTTTCAGTGGAAAACTGGCTACTTTTAAGGGGAAAATTGTATAAATTTGATTAGATGTTTTTAACATTACTTGATTTAACTAGCACTTAGCTAATTAGCTTTAAAATATACATTTGCATTTAGAAAGCTGTGCTTAGCCTAAGTTAAAGGACATACAGAAGGGCTTATAACTAAACCATGTTACGAATTAAAGAATCATCTAATGAGGATGTGTAGAAGCACTGAAGCAGGTCTTGTGTGACTACACATGTACAGAAGAACAGTTTGGGCAGGTGTTTGTTGAGTTTGCTCTGGATTGGTGTATAAAAGCTGAAAGAAAAGATCTCTAACTGGTTACTGACAGAGAGAAAGAGAGAAGACACAGCCTTCGTGACTCACTCTTTGCAGGAACCTCTCTGTTTATGTATCGAAGCACATCTGAGGATTTCATGGGAAGTTAACTTATCTTGAGCAACTGTTACTGCTTGCCTGGAACTGACCATTAAAAAATGACCCCCCAATTTGTCATTCACGAATGAGTCAGCTCTTTTAGGTGAATGTTGGGAGCTCATCTCGAGTTTGTCTTTGGTTTTTTGGCAGTTTTCATGTACTTATTAGCCATATTTCAAAGTGTGCCTCATGAGTTCTTCTGATTTTTTTGTCTGCATCTTGGCCAGTGGTCTATCTTATGGCTCCTGCCTCTCAGAATTCGACCAGTCAAACTAATTACCATCAGTCTTATTTGATTTGATTAATTTTGGGAGCAAAAAACTGACAATGCTACTGAATTAAGGGCTGTTTGGGAGCCAAAAGAGTCCGTTCTTATTGGTGAGCTCAGCCAATTGATCTGACTCATCAAAAAAAAAGCTGGAATGCCCATCACTACCAGTCACATCTGCAGAGGTAGGCAGTAACGTCACTTTCCATCCTAAAATACTGCCAGAAAATGTGGCTTTTCATTTATAATTAGCATCTCTTAACGTTTCCCATTTCCAACTATTCAGTGTAGGCTTGGTAAACAACATGTACACACTCACATGGTTCTAATAAAAACTAATTTTATTTTGTTCTACTGTTTTTCATTTTTTTTTTTCATTGGTTCATATTTAGCAAGTAAATGCAGCCTCTATTCTGATAAATAGTAATGAATACTAAAGAGTGATGCTCAAAGAAAAGTATGTCAATTGTAGCCCACCAAGGCACATTAGGGGCCTGCCTGAAATTACCTGAACATGGAAGGTGGTAGGTAGGCCAGTTGTATTGTTGTTTATATAAAATTAGTCCATTTATAAGTGATTTCACTCTCTTGTTCGGTCTAACATGGCGCTCACCTCTCCAGCTCGGTACACCACAGGATGTCCTCTTTGCCGTTCATGATGACGGGGAAGTGCTGGTCTTTACCCTGCTTGATGGAGTTAGAGCGGGTTGTGATGGTACGCACCTTTCCGAACTTCAGAAAAAAAAGTGAAAAAGATACTCATGAATAGTACATAATAGTAAATGTGTTATAGTTCATGATTTGGTGGATAATGCAGCGATGAGTAACAAGAACCAGTCAGTGAACACTCTGGGCCAAAGTCATAAAGCACTGATAATGTGGTATCAAAGGTCACAGGAGCTTCAATCCACAGTCAAAATGGTGCTGAGGCAGTGAAAAAAAAACAAAAAAAAAAACAGTCCAGTTCCAGTGCTTACAAAAACTGTATGATTGTGCTGACATGATTATTTTAATTCTTCATTTAAAGGCAGAGCAGCAAAACTGTATCTCTCCTTCACCTATATCTGTTTGGCTGAGCCACTTTTAAAGTTGTTGTAAAACACCCAATGTATTAATGTGCCCTGAAGCCTTCTCAAACAAGTCACCTGCCTCTACTTCTTCATCTGCAGCAGCAATGAGAGATGAAACATGTTACAGAAAACATCATCTAATGCACATTTTCTTACCAGGGAAATTCACTGTAAGACTAGTTCAGGTGTTATTTTTTGCCAGGTGGTTTTATATTTCAAATTGCTAATAGTAAATGCAAATGCCATCATATTCCAAAAGCATGGGCATTAATATGGAGTTGGCCCCTCCCTTTGCAGCTATAACAGCCTCCATGTTGATGGATAGGCTTTCCACAAGATTTTGGAGTGTGTCTGTGGGAATTTGTGCCCATTTAGTCAAAAGACATTTTATGAGATTATGGCAATGATGTTGGACCAGAAGGCATAGCTTGCAATCGACATTCCAATTCATCCCAAAGGTGTTCAGTGAGGTTGAGATCAGGGCTCTGTGCAGGCCACTAGAGTTCCTCCACGCCAAACTCGTCAAACCATGTCTTTATGGACCTCACTTTGTGCACAGGGGCTCAGTCAGGCTGGAACAGAAAATGTCCTTCCGCAAACTGTTGCCACAAAATATAATTATCTAAAACCCCTAGACCGTTATCCCTCCTTCACCTCCATACTCTACTGTTGACACTATGCATTCTGGTAGGTAGCTTTCTCCTGGCATTCCCGAAAACCCAGATTCGTCCATTGGACTGCCAGACGGTAAAGTGTGATTCATCACTCCACAGAACTCCAAAGAACATGCTCCAGAGTGCAGTGGTGGCATGCTTTACACCACTCCAGCTGACGCTTGGCACTGCACAATGTGATCTTAGGCTTGTGTGCAGCTGCTCAGCCATGGAAACCCATTTCATGAAGCTCTGGTCGCACAGTTCTTGTGCTGATATTGATTCCAGTTTGTAGTGACTGTTGGAACAGAAGATAAAGGATTCGTTCGTGCTACGCACTTCAGTACTTAGTGGATCCGCTCTGTGAGTCTGCGTGGTCTACCAATTCATGGCTGAGCTGTTGTTGCTCCTAGACGCTTCCAGTCACTATAACAGTTGACCAGGGCAGAAATCTCCTGAAACACCTTGTAGCAAAGGGGGCATCCTATGACAGTGCTGCTCCGAAATGCTCCTAGAGCTGTTGTTGTTCTTAGACGCTTCAGTTGACCAGAGCAGATGTAGCAAGGCAGAAAAACCACTAACTTGTGGCGAAGGTAGCATCCTATGACAGTACTGAGCTCTTCAGTATGACCCATTCTACTGCAAGTGTTTGTCTATGGAGATTGCATGGTTATGTTCTTGATTTTATACACCTGTTAGGAGTGGCTCAAACACCTACGTCCACATACTTTTGGCCACACAAACAATAAAAAGCCTGTAATTCTCGTTTATGGTGTGTTTCCGAAGCTGGCCCTCTGTGTGTAGGCCGCTTTAACATATCTATAGTAAGAATGCTGAAAGAAATGTTACCTTGGCAACGCGGCCGTGCTCCAAACAGTCCTGTAGCTCCAGCTTATCCATCCCGGAGGCACAGAGAGGCCTGCAACACAGGATCATTGTCTTACATGTAGCTTCGCAGTAGTGTGCCATGTAGGTGCTTTAAAGAAAAAGGCGAATCCAGGCTAATCTACAGAAGCTTCCAGCAACCAGTTCATTTCAGTAATTCTTAAATTAGCCTGAAACCTAAGGGTGAAATGAGACTGGGGTAACACTGAATAGATGGAATGTCTAAACATACAATACCTATTCATTCCTGGCAGGTTGCCCCAGAAATATCTTGCTCTGTGAGCAGCTGACACTTCAATGGCATCTATCATCACTGGATTACACTGTAAAACATACACAAACATGTTGATATTTTAAAGGTAAGTGCAATAATGAAACCACAGAATCTTTGTAAGCACAACTGCTAAACATGGTTCTCAAATGCCAGTTCCAGGAGGCTAGTAGGGCTGCAATTATTGAATATTTTAAAATTTTTATATTAATTGAAAATTATCTTGAATATTCAAACATTTAAAAAAAACAAAAAAAGCCCAAGATGTGTGTTTTACTTTAACGATCAAATATATATTTTTGTACAATTATTTATTGTTAGTATTACAGTTTATAAAAGCTGAAATACTACAAAGTAATGGAAAAACATCACGGATAAACAATTGTCACAGCAAGCAGCTTAAAATGTTAGTCTGGGGGGACCCTGCCCAATCTGGCAACCCTGAACAGGTTACCGATGTGTCCACGGTAAGTGCTTAGGAAGAGCAGAGGAAACAGCGCCCTTTAACCACACCGTCTTAAAAACTGAAATCAGCCTTTTGGTCATAACTCAACAAGCGAAATAGTGACCATGTTTTAGATTTACCCAGTTTTTTAAGCTGCTAAAAACACTTTATACGCAAGTAAAGTGCTAAACTCTGTGTTGGTCTTTTCACCTGATGCAGTTTCTTTGTGCTCCAGACAGACAGCTCGCTAACCTGCACGCTGTTGTTTATTCTCATAAATAAATGCTATAATAACTAAATAAGAGCTGCTGGCTTCCAATCCAGAGCAATAGGAAAAGCACTTGCACCAGGAGAGTTAGGAACAGAGTCCCGACAGCACTACCTCTGACTACTGCTGCGATATCACTGTGGTACTGACAAGAAAGGATCATTTGACGGACATGAAAACAGGTTAAACATAAACTGCCATTTTGTGTGATATGTACGCAGATTATCTTGCTCTCTGTAGACATGAAAATCGATGCAATGAAGTGTGTGGTCAGAGAACTTCTAATGAGGACAATTGCCACTCAGTAACGTAATCCAGGTTTGTTAGACACTAGAGGGCGCTCCCGAGCAGTCCAACATGAATGGGCTCCTATGGAGCTTTTCATAGTTTTTATATAGAATTTTTTATACAGTTTGGACTTATTTTTCACACAGAACATCATAAAACATTTCAACTCATTTAAACTCTGCTTCTATATTTTTACACGCTTTTGAACTCCAGTTATGGGACTTTCTAACAGTGACTTATGCACATTCATGATGTCACTGAACCGCTTTAATAATGAGTTGATCAGCTCACCAACCAATTAGCATGCAGTAGCAGTAATGCCAACCACCCTACTATCCTACTTTCCTAGACCTGTTTGCTGTAGAGAAATAGAGAGATTCTAGTAAGTTGCGGTTTCTTTGATTTTTTAATGGAATACATTTCTCTACTTTACAGAATTAAAGAAAGTTTCTACATTCACGGTTAGAAACGTTTAATTTTTAGTTTTTAGCCATTTAACTCCAGTCATCGCCATTCAATGAGGACTCGCTTGCTGGCACCCTCTAGTGTTTTACAGTCTTATTTTTTTATACAATGGGAGAAATAGGAAGTGGCCTGGTTCCGCTTAGACTAGTGTGGTTTCATAAAAACACATAAAACCACCACTTATTCAAATGGCTTTTCCATTTTTTAATATTTTAATAATGGAATTTATCAAATTTTGCTGAATATTCATTGCAGCCCTAGAAGCTGGTTAAAGAGGCTCACTGCTAAGCCAATAACTTGGGAGAAACACAAACCTCAAGGAAGCGGGAGATGTCTCGTTTATCATTGACGCCCATTGCAACCACGTTCTCGAACATCCAGAAGAAGGGCCGGTCTTCTCCTTCCTTTGGCTTTGCTTCGCTCAGCAGACGATAGAACTCGAAGAACAGGCGGCCAGTCCCCTCTACCAACAGGAAACAGATTTTGTCAGCTATAACTGATTAGCTGAGGCAGTCAGTAGAACCTTCTCAGCGGCAAAACAGAAGGAGTACACGGCCAGTATTGCACTGGAAGACTGCAGTTTGAGTGTCTTTAACTCATTTAAAGTCCATATCTGAAATTCTGAAGTCCATTTATGTCACTTGTCAAAGTTTATGTACCCAAAACAGTCATGATTAATTTTTACATGACCATTTCTCTTTATCTCTTTATCTTGATCTCTCAGACAGTTTTCATTACTGTGCCTTTAAGACCGATGTATGTAACCTACATCTGTTTCTGATTGGCTGCCTTGTATTTTGCCTCATTAAAATGCATTCTGCTCTGAAACACTCCTTATTACTTCAATATGAATGGGCAGATCTTTTATTTCAAGTTTTTTATTTTTGTGTGATATTTTACAAATTGTCTTACATAGGCCTACCAATTTCAACAAAACCATAAATAATCCAAATCTGGTTATGAATAAATGTCTGACAATGGTATTAATTCAAAATATACATTCTAATACTGTTAGATGTTCAGCCAAGATATAACCACAAACGTCCTCACTTTAGACCAATCAGAACAGGTTCTGTGGCTTTATTCTTAAGGGCATGAATGGGTTTAAAAAAACTTGTCATGTCTCTTACAGAAATACTCACTGACCACAGCAGGCTATGACCTGTGATTGGCTATGACTCTCTCAACCTGATAATCTGTGGCAGGCAATCTTACAGTTCTCTTGAGACATCTGAGAACACTTGAAATGGCGTAGATTTCAGCATTAAGATCCAGGTAATCCACAAACCTGTCCTCACAAGTGTAATATCAGTATCTACCACTGAAACGAAGAGAGTGGCGCGTTCTTACCGTAGAGGCCTTTCCTGGCTGGGTTAACTATTGAGAGATCATTACAGGGGCTTCCACCAATCACCAAGTCAAACGGTCCCCATTCAGCAATCTGTGGAAGACAACAGCACCACCTAGTGTTAATATGAGTACAGCACACCCTCACCATCTCCGCCCAGCACGGGAGCTCTCCAGCTCACTGTGGCAGAAAAAACCTACTGCTGATGATCCAACCTGTTAATGTAGTCAGTTAATGTAGACACATGCAAACTAGCATGGAAATTATACAGACATATGCAAAATTCTGGGTGCCCAGCGGTCAAAATCCATGTTGTGTTGATCTTTTAAGTCAAAATAACTTAATACATCCTCTACATAGAACACACCTCTGCACATTTTAATGCACAATTACTGTTTATTTGCTGATTTTAAGTACAGAACCACAAAAACAAGTGCATACAAACACATTCATGCAAAGCACATTGGACTGAGAACTGCCTGATATCAGAGTCACATCTGTCCATGTCTGTGAAAGAGAGCGTATGCAGCTGGACCCTATTCAGCCTCTTCTAATGCTTTCTTTTCCTCACCCCCACCCCACCCCAACCCCCCAGGCTCTGACCCAGCCCTCCTTCTCCTCTCTTCTGTCTCAGAGCCTTTTCATCCCCCCCTTTCTGCCCTCCCACCGCAATCCTGCCTCCAGTGTACGTTCACAATGGGGTGAATGGGTGACCGAGCGGGTGAATCAATGAATGAACGAAAGGCTGCATGGCTGAGTGAAAGGGTGAAGGAGTAAAGGGGGGATTTGGGATCGCTTTGTGCTCCGGCATTTAGACTTGAGCAAGCAGCGGGCGTATGTGTGTGTGCATGTTTGATGGTGGGTAGGAGAAAGGGGAGGCAGAAACTGAAAACCAAACAGGAGAAGAAGTAGGAGGGATTAGGAAGGACAGAATCTGCTCTTATCAGGAGCTGCTGGAACATGCACCTCACTACTAGAACTGCAAGATATGGACAAAATTATATTGCTATATATCGTTATTTTGTATACTTGTGATATACCTTGCAATATATTTAAGGGCCCATATCATGGAAAATGACTTTCCCTTGCTTTTTTGTAATAAAGGAGTATGAAGTTAAATGTAAACATTGTAAAAGTTTCAATACATACCATTCACTACACATTGGAAACTATGCTGCAAAAACTGCCTGTTTTGAATTAATTGTATCTATGAAGTTACAAGAAGCAACTAATTTGCATATATCCACCTATTCAGCCTATAGCAGTTCAGCTCCACCCATTCACACTGAAGTTATAAAACCATAATTTACATATATCAGTATTAAACACACTGCAAAAAAACAGCCTCTCTCATTAAGAGTTAAAGAGAGGTTAGAAAATGGTCATGCAAAAAAAATGAATTATGGCCATTTTAGTACATTAAACCATTTTTTTCCCTTAAGTAAAAGAAAAATGCAGGATATGGCCCCTTTAAAGGTCATAAAGTTTTTGTAGGTTTATGTACCAAAAACAGACATAATTCATTTTACATGATCATTTTTCATCTCCTCTTGCTGCCTTAGAGTGATCAGGCTGTTTTCGTTACTGTGCCTTTAATGTTGATATATGTAAATTACCTCTGATGTCATTGGTTGCCCTGTACTGCGATTGTTCAAAAACCAGTCTTGGCAAAACACTCCGTATAACTTCAGCATGAATGTGCAGGCTAATCTGCTTAAGAATAAACAAGTCGATATTGTATTTGTATTGGTTTTTGTGACATCACAAAAACAAAAAATTAAAAATAGGCTCTTTTGCAGGTTGGTTTCCGTATGTGGACTGTATGCAGTGTGAAGTGGGCATTTTGAAACTTTCTTTACGATCTTTACTACATCAACATTTTGTTTAATCTCAAAAAGAAAAATTTGTTTTTTTTAAATGATATGGGCTCTTTAAAGCACACCTCGAACCCTTAAAGAGCCCATATCCTGCATTTTCCTTGTATTTTGTTTATATTCCTTGTGTCACACGTCCCTCCGGCTATGAGACTCCCACAAACTCCATCTCCCAGAACCCTCTGGGGGATCACATGACCGATGACACATCTCAGCGCTTCAGTTATCGATCACATTCACCTGAATACTAATCCTGTACAACTGTTTCTTCCAGTCATGAGTCTGGTGAGGTTTAGTATAAAGCCCAGGCTTTTAGACTAGAAACTTTGCGAGGTATTGCTTCTTTGAGCTACTGAGCGTATTTTTTGGTTGCCCTCTTGTTACAGTTTTGGCTGCCTTGGATTTTTTGACTTTGTCTATTTGTCTCTGCCCCTTTGGACTTGGTTGCCTGGTTGTTATAATTTTTCTTTTTTGCTTTTGGATCTTTCTGGATTTGACCTCTGCCTGTTTTACGACCACAAGTTTTGCCAAAGCCCTTAACAATAAAGCCTCACGTTAGACCTTGTTTGTGTGGTTTTGTATTTGCGACCATTTTCCAACCTTTTCTTTAGTCCTAGAATTAAACAGGCTGTTTTTGTTACTGTACCTTTAAGACTAATATATGTAGATCAGGTCTGTCCTGATTGGTTGCTCTGTATTGTACTTTAGAAAGAACTGTACTTCTAAAATTCTGGGCTGCAGTACTATAACTTCAGTGTGAATGGGCGGGGCTAGACTGCAGTAGCCTGAATAGGCAGATATATGTAAATGTGATGTGACATCAGAAAAAATATGATATCAAACACTATTTATGCACCTTAGTGTCCACATTTGGACTGTATGGACTGGGAGTGAATGTCTGAACGTATGTTTTGAAACACTGTTTACTAAATACATCAAATTCTTTCAATTCAAAAAAGCGAACATGCTTTTTCTACGATATGGGACCTTTAACTAGAGGTGGTTAAAGACTGTCCTGCAAAATGTGTTGCATTTGTTGGATCATATGGATGCCTTCATTCATTCAGTCACCCACAGAAACCCCTGTAGAACAGTGACATTGGATAAAATTCATAGTACACAATAAAAAAACTGCGCAATGCAGCCTTCTGCAATATCAGTTTTGCAGATATCACAATAATGACTACCAGACAACACATTGCACAGCCCTATTCACTACAAAGCAAATAACACAGATAAGGAGTCTGTACGTGTTAAAAAGAGAGGCGCAGTGAGTGCAGTGCTTTAACAGTTAACAAGTCTGACATAAGCAATGTAGAGTTCTCATCCAGGATGACTCAGACTGGTCTCAGCTGATAGAGAACATCGCCAGAGGGATCTACACTTCTCCACTTACATTTTTCCGGGTGATGTTCCGAACATCGTGCACATATTTGATTTTTCCTTCATGTCGGACAACCCCCACAGATATGGAGTCCTCACACACTTCTGAGGCGATGTACATATCCACCTTAAAGCCCAAGTCCTTCAGCACCAAATAACCTGCAACAGTCAGCACGTTAAAAACCTAAGATTAGCTGGAAACTGAGCGCACCATGAGTTTAAAAGGGGTATTACACCGATTTCTCAAAATTTCTGCATAAGTAAAAAGTTCAGATGTAAACAGTCATTCAGAGTGGTTTGTTGTCGAGTGCTCAGTTCTCCAAAAACGTACCTAATCAGAATTGTTCACAGATGTCTGAAGTGTTTAATGCCTCTAAAAGCTCCCTCACAGAAAGTTACTGCATGAAATGGTTATGACTTCACTGCTTGACGCATGAAACACTGTTTTATAATACTTTTGGGATTAAGGTTTGACCTAAAATGTATTTTTAAAATTGGCAAAATAGTCCCGAAAAAACCCTTATTTCTTCAGATTTACCACTATTTTCCCATTAACAGTGTTACATTTAAAACTGCATGTACTGGTTGACTGTCCATTTTGGTAAAATGAAAAAAGTAAATAAAATGGTTATATTTGTGTTGTAGACATTAAGACACCTGGTTCGTATCACCACCACTGTAAAGAAATCAGAGTCAGTAAGTTTCTCTATATTGAACCATTTCACATCAAACCATATGAATGACTCTGTTTACATCTCAACGGTAGAATTATGCAGGAATTTTGAAAAATTGGTGAAATTCCACTTTAAGTAGATAAACAGATGGGTAGACAGATAGTATTGGCCAAGTGTTTTGTTGATTTTACAGGTGAAAATAAATGACACATCCTCTACAGAGACACACTTCTGCCAGGTTTAATTCACAAGTACTGTTCGTGTGTGTGTGTGTGTGTGTGTGTGTGTGTTTTGAATATATTCCTATATACTATATAAAACTGTGCACAAAAATTGCCAAACTTATTTTTACTTACAAAATCAACAAAAGGTCTTAAAATCTTTGCATATAACTGTAGATACATAGCAGGGGTGCAAGACTGCAATCAACCTAGATTTCAATTGGTATTGGGCCAGTTTTTTTTATTTTGGCAAACAGTTTGCCAACTTGTAAACTACATGAGACACTCGCGCTGTATATGAATGCTGCTACTACAACTGTGCCAAAATGATGTAGCATAATTATATATGACTCACTGTGCTAAAATAGCAAATCACCTCTTACTGTAGGACTTTATATGATTAATGTTACTGAAATAGGCAACAAATTTATCATTTAGAATTTAAAATGCTAGTTTGGTTTTGGCTAAAAGGAAGTACTGGATATGTGCTGGTTTGTTTCAGGTGTCCATTTAGCCCACATAGTTTAGCCTTGGGTTCAAAAAGCATAATAAAAATCAGTGAAAATCAGCCATCAGCCAATTTGGCTGTGAAGAAATCAGAAGAGGCCTTAAAAATTTAAGATTTGTGCATCCCCACTAACTAGATGGGTCAATGTTTTACTAATCCTGAAGTAAACTGGTCTGTTACCACAGCACCAAGAGAAAAGTGTACAAATCACTAACTTCTATTAGATGAGCTATAACATTTACAGAATTTACAAGATGCTCAAAAGAGACAAACACCACTATGTGTTTACAGATGTGTTGAAATATCTGTGCTACTTATTAATGAGATTTTTAAATATATTGCTAATGTCTGAATAAAACCTCGTATCTCCAAAATGGTAACTTTACAGGAAAAAGGAAACAACATACTTTACACTTTACTTTACATTCATCAAGAAATTTACACACAGTGTAAAGAGCAACAGGCATTTTCAAATGATGTCAAAAACTGAAAAACGACAAAAATGGAGATACGAGGGTTTCTTCCGACAGCAATGATATGCAAGTGAATATATGATCTAAATGTATGTATTGCTCACGTATTGTCAGAATAACACTATGTTTACATACGTTCAAATTAAAACCTCAACTTAAAGATGTGATGAAGCATGAAATCATTATACACAGTCACATGCAAAAATTTGGGCACCCCTGGTCAAATTATGTTTTTTTTAATAACATTTAATTTTCTAAGTAGCAAATAAGTATGCAGACTTTCTAGATAGTTACTTATTTGCTGAATTTAACTAATTAAAAAAAAAAACATAAAATGTGACCTCTGCCATGTACAGCACATTTTATGCTTTTTTGCAATCTTTTAAACTCAAATAATGAGAAATTGTGCAATGACTTTTTCAGGAAAATGCCACATTTTGAGTGTGTTCTCGGTGTTCACCTATTTTCACTTACAAACAACATACAGACTCACCTGTGGCGATGCCATCAAACAGAGAGAGAACTCTAATTGGACGTCTTTGTTCTGCTGGGACTGCTGGGTAAATTTTTGGGCTTTCCTAAAAAACGACAAAATCACAAAACGTCAACAAAAGCAGAACAAAGCTAAAGTCACAGAAGCACAACAGGGTGGATGTCCTCCCTCATAGTCCTGGTTCTGGAGTTCCGCTGTCCTGCACATTTTAGCATTAGTGGGTTCTTAATGAACTGATAGGTTGATCGTGTGTTAGAGCAGTTAAAGGTTTCTCCAAGACCTGGACTGAGAACCTGTGAACTATCCTGATCAAGCTGTGTCGGACTCACAAACTCCTGTCCGTTGTCATTGACGAAGAACTCCTGCAGTTTGAGGCTCCAGTCATGCCGTCTCTTCAGCACTCCGTACTGCTGCAGCGGCTGGCACATGTAACACAGCCACGGGTCCAGATCCCGCGCACTGTTTGATGCTCCAGCGCCCACCAGCAGGTCCAGGCAGTCCACACAGAAACACCTGAGCAGAAAGAGAGAGAAGATAATCATATTAATTGTAGTACATCAAGAGAAATGGAGAGTTTTATATTAATATGCTGCATATCTGACTTTCCATTTCTCAAATAAAGGTGGTATTAATCCTAAATGTAGCATTGATATTTCTTGTAAGCGCAAAGCCTGTATATAAAAAAGAAGAATATTAAAAGTAATAAATGATGCATTTTGGAATGAAACCCTTCAAATACATCACAGTTAATGAAGGAACACAGGCATGAAAGAGTGTATGAGAGAGTACAAGCATGAGAGAAGGGCAGAAAAGAGAAAGAAAAAGAAAACAAAAAGTAGTAGATGTTGGCCTTTGCGATGCTGATACTGCAGTAGGTTGAAAGTTGCAGATAAGCCCCAAAACCAATCATGTGTGCTTTGAGCATCCTGACCAATCACAGCTCAACATGAATGTTTCTGTGAGTCTTTTAATGAATGAAGGTATTAATTTACTGCAGCAAAATAAAATTATTTTGGTCAAATCATTACTGATTTACCTACGTATTTACACATCACTGTTGTTGGTAGAAAACCTCATATCTCCAAAATAGTAACTTTACAGGAGAAGGAAAAAACCTACTTTACTTTTCATGTAAGTCAATGGAACCAGACGTTTTTCCAAGTCATTCCAAGCTGTTTCTTTTGGTCCATTAATCAAGACATTTTCATATAATGTAAAGGACAACAGGCATTTTCAAATTATGTCAAAAACTGAAAAATGACAAAAATATACTGTATGAAAAAAGATGTTGAATATATTAAAATTAATAATTACTTTATTTTTGTTTTACACACCTTTGTGATTATATTGCATTTATTAAAGTCACACAGTAACGGTGCATCTCCTCTGTCCCCTTTACATTGCTTAGTGGAAGGGACTGACCACTGAACTTGGTGCAGTGAAGTTGCCTTTTTTGTCAATCTACCCAATATGCAACTTTACTTTCGTCCCATCATCAGTTTTAAAGTTTTAACCCCCCCAAAATTTTATTACACATTTCTATAACCTAAAACAGCTCAGCCAGTTTACACTGAAGCCCCTGTAGTTACTGAATAATAAGCCTTAGTATGTAATAAGCCTGGAATTTTAATAAACACTATGTTTTTAGTTCAGCTGCAGCTTTGTCTCCCTCACTGTTCTCCAACTTGGCTACAAAAGGGACTTTGATGGTCCCTTTATTAAAAAACGTTATTAATGCTGCAGCAGTGGGAATCAAAGCTCCAAGCAACTAATGAAGTGATTTGAACTGTGACTGCTTTCTGTAATTTGAATGGTATGAAGTTAAAACATGTTCTGACATCTCTTGTAACATTATAAGTGGATAGCAGACAAACATTTCAATTAGTGCCCTGTATCGTTAAATGATAGAGTCATTATCAAGTAAATAGAATTCTAATGTAATTCA